ACAAACGAAATAAAACACATACAAATTCTTTAAAACTAGCTTGTCTCAAAAGGAGTTTATCAGAGATTCTATCACACTAAGGCGGAGTTTACACACTCACGTCACAGAGGCTTCAAAGAGGTTTTTCACAAAAGGGTGCCGCAAGAGACTTCCAGTCTAGCTTGATTTAGCTGCTTAGGAAACATTTGCATTCTAATTTAAATGAAACAGCCCGTCTCCAACTTTTTCACCGGAGTGTTACAACACAATTGTAAGGTAATCAAAAGGGTTAAAACACCACTTTATCAGTTACACCACCCCCTCCTGTGGAGGTAGGCTTCTCACACATTTACAGGATCTAAGTTAAACTAAAGGAAGTCACTCAGATTTATTAAACCTTATAACCCAAACAGAAAAGAAATGATGGTAATAGCTCAAATGTTGAAATAGTTACAAAACAGCCTTACTGTTGAGTAAAATAAAATACTACGATTAGCATTATGGTCTGCAGGGGCTGAGTTGATGTTTACATTTCAAACAAGATTTGCATTGGAATAGCATACAGGAAAAATCTAGCACCGTGTTGATTCAATCATGTTATTAAATTAAATCTATCAATGGTCGACAAGACACATTTAACGGGAAGTTTTTAAGGTTCATAAAAGATCTAAACACCCTTCTGTAAAACCAGTCAACAGCAGGAACACCAAGTTTAACATGATTTAGTCATATGATAAAATGCTGAGATAAAAAACTGTTACTGCATAGTGTAGAATTCTATTTACCTAAGAACATAACCCACTAAAGTAAAACTGCATAATCTAAACAATAATACCGAACATGGTAACACTAGCTTACATCTATCAGACTAGAAAATTTAAACAATAGGTCTCATAAAATCAGCTGAAATATTTAGTTTGGGGCTGTTTCTATATAGTCCAGTAAAGGAACAGCCTACCACTTGTGAAATAGAGACCATCTTGAGTCAAAGTTGTATTTTTAATCTTAGTTCATGAGCAAAAGGTATCTTCGGATCCAGATTAGCTGCTTTACAGCTAATCTGTTTCTGTCTGACAAAACTAGAGCTGTGCTGGTATGTTACAAGAGTCTGTCAGGCTAATATGGCATAAGCTATTTATAAGGTTATGTGCCTCTAAACACTAAAACCTACATGATTTGTTTATTCTAACAAACTACATGATCGTTTAGAAAGGGTATTTATTTTAATAAAAATAATAAAAGGCCTGTAGACCAGAATATCTAATTTAATTTGAGGCAATCGCGTGAATCTTCCCCATCATATTTGGCTATCCATTTCAGCCGGTGAAGCTGAAGGAGTTAGAGGACGGATGCATTTATCCCTGCTTAACTGTATTTGCTTAACATTCTATCTACGTAAGTCATTTTGTTTACTAGTTTAGTAAGAGTTTCGTCTTTCGTGCGTGAATGGCAAAAAATCACTACCAGCGTAAAACCACTGTCGTCCAGTTATTAGGAAAAAGGTGCAATTTAGTACTCACTCAGGGTGCTATTCAGCTGCCAGACTGCGAAGCGATCTCCCACCGGAACTCTGCTCTCCAGAGCTCACCAGAGCTGATCCACAGTCTCCCTTACCAGAAACAGGCTCAAAACAATTTTAGCCAAACAATCTCACACGTCTTTTTCCGGTCATCAACTTTCTCATACACTCAAGAGGTTCACACACACACACGGCCGCAACTGGCCCACCTCAATCAACTTAAACCACACTGCCAGTGGTTAAAGAAACAGACGCAAATTAATGAATTAACTTAATGAATTAATGAATTCTTACTCTCCTCCACGTTGTAAATTCGTCCTGAGTTCCGAGCGCGAGAGCCTGTTGATGAAAGTTTGTCTGCAGAGCTATGAAGCCGGCCGGTGAGACAATTTGCAGTCCCCCGGACTTATGATGAAGTGGCGCCACGCGGCTCCCTGGAGACAATCTTCCACCGCTAGGCTCTGCGTTGCCCGCATTCTTCACCATTTGATAGGTAATTTGATTTCATCCCATATTACCTTAAAGGACGACACACCCTTTGATAGAGAGAGAGAGTAAATTGATTATTTGTAATGTCCATGTGTGTGGCTCAACCAGGCCCCACTCTGCTTCAGCCTCAAAGCTTTCTCCTCACCTGCTCTGTATACCTGCATTCTTCAATTATCTGGTAGATAATATTTAACCTCCATAACCCTGGAACCTGAAATAAACACACATGACAACAAGGAAGACATTTTACACTGAATTAGCCAAATGAGGGGGAGATCATCGAAATGACACATAACTCTCTGGTGCCAGGCGACTCCCCCAATCCTCAGAGTCTTCAGTGGTTTTATTCAAGCAAAGGGTGGGGGGGGAGAAGGCGGGCCTTCTCAAGTTACAGAGGTACAGAGTTTTCTCAATTAACATCCTTGCTCAACCTTTTTATGAACAGCCAACACAGAGATTCATGATGTGTAATGGGCATCTTTTAGGTCTCAAAAAGGTACATTTATAAAAATACCCAACAAATACTATTGTATTTTCATGTGAAAAACACAGATTTGTGCAATTTGTACAGAGAAAAGTTGTAACTTTAGAAACAACATAAATTGTTTTTTTACATTTCTATGATGTAAAAAATACACAATTTATATTGTTTTTAAAGATACAACATTTCTCTGTACAGTATTGTGATTATTAAATTATGAATTTAGTGTTTGGCTGATTGACTGGATGTCAAATTTTATAGGCAGCACATTTGTTTCTCCATGAAAATCAGACCAAAACAATCCAGCAAGTTTCAAAGCCCAGATTTATAGTGTTTCGGATTCTCTGTATCATGTTTACAAACTTTTTCTATTTCATCAATATTTCTTACCAACATCTATTCTAAGTGTTCCTGTTACCATGAAATTTTACATTTTCAGTAATAATTTATAAAAATAAATACATTTTTAACAATTGCAGTTCCCCCCCTCATCTGCTAGGGGCTGGTTCCAGATATCAAGTTCCTATTGAGTCCTATGTTAAAAATGCCAAATACACAGCAGAAAATAATGTTTCAAGGTACAAAAAAATACCTTACCCAATGACAGTGATGGACTGAGTGGGTTGAGCCTGCAATTGTCTGATCATGGGGCAGACACCTAACGCTTCTGCCACGTAACCAGAAGTAGAAGGGTTTGACTTAGATGGGTTTCACTATAGTGAACAAACTATAACCTCATTTTTTCTAAACAACCCGTCTTCTGAGCGCTCAGGGACCGTCTGCAAATGTAAACTCCACTCTGCAGGTGATGCAGCCAGATCATTGAAAATAATTTAAATATTGAGGTTTGTATTTTCATGTCTTTCCTAGAAAGTTGGAGTGTGTATATAGTGTACATTTCATAATATTGCAGTAAAGTTCAGGTTTAAAAAAATCTTGTATTCGTTTTCCTGTGTTCCGTGTATTAGCTGACTGTAAAAGGGTATTGTGTGTTGGAGGTTGAGAGAAATAACATAGTTGAATATGAGGTGTTTAAGGGGTAATGATTGGAAGGCTAGTACCAAAGCACTGAAACGGGTATATGTAGCAATGATCAGATCGGTTATTGATTATGGTAGTATTGTATATAGTTCCGCAGGTAAAACATTCCTGAAGAAGATTGAAGTTATTCAAAGTCAGGCTTTGAGAATTTGTTGTGGAGCAATGAAAACCACACCGATAGTGTCTTACAAGTGGAAATGGGAGAGATGCCATTGACTCTTAAGTTACTGAAATTAAATTATTGGGCTAGTGTTCAAGGTAGTGAAGAGGATGAGCATATGGTTACGGGAGAGATGAAAGTAGGAGGGCAATGTTTGTATGGCAAGTATGAGAGTATGGTCTGGAAATCGTATAAATTGGCGGAAGCCTTTAAATTAAATGATAAAGTTGTTATTAAGAAATGTCTATATTCGCCTACTCCGTTTTGGTTATTTCCAAAAGTAATAATAGATTTTCATATTCAAAATGAAATTAAAATACGGAAAGGTGTGGGAAACTGGGATGATGTTGTGGAAGAAAGGTTAAATGACACATCAAGCATTCATCCCTATTTATACTGACGGGTCGAGAGAGTCAGGAAATATAACGGGATTTTCTTTCTGGATTCCAAAATTAGGTATATATCATAAAAGTTGAACATCTAATAATCTGTCAGTATATACAGTGGAAATGTTAGCCATTTCATTTAGTTTCCAGTGGATAGAACAAAATGGTGTTGGGAATAGTATTATTTGCTCGGACTCCATGTCTGTATTGTTATCAATTAAAGAAATGTCAGCTGATAAGAGGTCAGATATTTTGTATGAGATATTTGAGTGCTTGTTTAGGTTGATGAAGACTAATTCAGAGGTTAGATTTATGTGGGTTCCAGCCCACAGTGGAGTAGAGGGTAATGAAAAGGCTGATTATTATGCAAAGCAGGCAAGAAAACTGGATACTATGATGGAGGTTCTATATAGTGTTGCAGAGGTGAAATCAGTTATTAGACAGCAGATTCTGGATGAATGGCAAGAACAATGGATAAGGGATGTGAAAGGAAGACATTTATACAAATTAAAGGGAAAGGTTGGAAGAATGGAAGTCATTCCAATGAGTAACAGAAATCAAGCAGTGATAACAAGGATGAGAATGGGACATACAGCTTTGAACAGTACGCTTTTTATTCTTGGACGGCATAATACCGGTATGTGTGAATGTGGACGTGATAGGGAAACAGTAGAACATGCATTATGTACTTGTAGAAAATATGTGGGGAATAGGAAAATGTTAGTTGAAAAATTAAAAGTTAAAGGATATAAGAAATATGATTTGAATATTCTGTTAAATGGGGACTAGTGGTTTATAAGTTAGTCACAGACTTTTAAGGAAAAGTGGAATACTTAATAGAATTTAGTTTTTTTTTTGTAGGATACTCCCCACTTCAACTCACACTCCCATTCAGTAGGTGGCGGACATGCACCTGAAAGTTGGTTGCCACCCACCAATTAAACAACAAAAGAGGAAGAAGGTTGAAGGAGGCGGAGGAGGTGTGTTTGTTGGGGAAGTGGAGTGAGAGAGTTTATTCGTTTCGTTTAGTTGTTCTTAAACAATACATGCATACATTAGATTAACGTTTTAATATTCTGAAATTTTGCGCCCTGTCCGGCAAATAGCGCCTGCAGGCGAGGCGCTGCTCATCTCGAACAAGCCTGTGTACGGCAGGAGGACTGGTCACTCGAGTTCATGTTCGAAAAGGGAGGCGGAGTCAAACATGGCTGACGAAATATTGGTGATAAACACAGCTGTTGAGGACCACGAAGAAAACCAACACTTAGATGGGGCTGAAGTTTCAGGTCCGGCGGCTCACGGCAGCAACGGTGGGAACTCTGGCGAGAACACGACTCCGTCTGCGGAGGAGAGCAGCTGGTCAGCTCCTATCTTGTCTCTGGCTAGGAAGGCCACGGAGACGATTAGCAGTGGGATGAGCTACGCTACTGCCCCTAGAAAATCATCTCAGGGGTCCGCTACAGGTTCTCCATCGAAGAAAGGGTCCGAAAACTACCTGAACCACTCATCTTTAAACCATACGGGTATGACTCTTTAAATAACAATGAGATCCGACTAAACTAAGTTTCAGTGAGCAGTTACTTCCTCTTGCACTATAGTCAGCTGTCTAAAAACATGACACATACATAGGTGTGTGTGTGTGTGTGTGTGTGTGTTTGTGTGTGTGTGTGCGTATATATATATATATATATATATATATATATACACACACAGATGTGTGTATATATACATAGATGCGTGTATATACACATGTATATGTTTATATATACACGTATATGTGTATATATACACGTATACATGTGTATATACACATATATATACATGTGTGTATGTATATATATATATATATATATATATATATATATATATAGTGTATTAGGGTTGTCACGGTGTGAAAATTTAACCTCATGGTTGATGTGACCAAAATTATCACGGTTTTCGGTGTGATTGCGGTATTTTTTAAACAGTGTTGCATATGTTCAGAAAGCATTGATAGTCCTGTTCTACACAAACTGAAATAGCTTTGAAAAGGTTTAACAGTGTTTATTAAAGCTAAAATAACACAAACCCTTAGCAAAAGTGCAACTTTTCACAAGTAAAGGAACAAATAGCTTATTTTTCTGGAACATGTTACAGTAGTCAGTGCAGGTTTAAATTATACAAATCCAAACATTCAAAACATAAACAATATGTAAACAAATCAAAGAAACACCACTTGTCTTCTCATATACTTGTTTTCTTCATTATCAAAATAAGAATCTAAGGCCCTGTCCACACGTAGCCGGGGATCTGCCAAAACGTAGATATTTTTCTACGTTTTGGCCTGTCATCCACACGAAAACGGAGTTTTTTCACACGAAAACGGATCTTTATAAAAACTCCGGCCAAAGTGAAGATCTGCGTTTTCTCCGTTTTGGGTGTCTGCGTGTGGACAGACAAAACCGGAGTTTTAAGATCTGCAACGTCACTCTCCGCGACAAAAAAATGCTGACGTCACGTGTGCGACCTGTGTTTACACTAGCCAACAGCATGGAAGCCTTCAGAGCTGCACTCGCTTTATCAATTGTCCAAGCGCTTTTTGCTTGTTTGTTTTTGCAAGCGGAATTACTGCTCCTTGCGGAAGACCACAGACGAAGGATGAGGTTAAGAACGGGGGAAGTACTGCCGCCTACAGGTCTGGCATGTCCTTAACAACGTATTTATCTGGGTACGTGTGGACAGAGTTTTTTTTTTAAAACGTGGTGGTGTGGATGCAAGTTTTTGGAGGGGCGGATATTCGTTTTTATAAAACCCTGGCTACGTGTAGACTAGGCCTAAAACTCCAGTCCACACTTGACTTGAGCACTGTACAAGTCAACCTTAAAAAAATATGTGTTTAAAATAAATAGCCACTTTAAACAAATTACTAAAATAACTACTACACTATGTAATCAAATCCAAATGTTCAAGTATAAATGGCATTGAAAAAAAGTAAACAAGTCAATGGCTAGGAAGTAATTGTATATTTCTCTTCATCATCAACAAATAAGATGCTTCATCCAGCATCATGACTGTCAGCAAGCATGACCATTTATTTCAGGTTGAAATGCAAAAATGTCAACATATTAACCTTGTCTGGTTTAAGATGTGATCTAAGAGAGGAAAGAATATACCCGCTGGCACTGAATATTCCCTCTGATGGAACACTAGTTGCTGGAATACACAAAAGCTTTTTTGCCTGCCTGGTAAGATGAGGCAGCTCTGATGCATGGCCCCTCCACCACACCAGTGGATCATCATCAGCTAGAATGGATGGCAGAGACATGTAGACTTTGACTTCCTCCTTCACTTTATCTTCTGGGGTGGCTGGACCTGAACCCTCTTCAGATCGCTGCTGCCTTGTTGAGGTAATCTTTTTTAGTAACTCAGCAAGGCCTTTCCCTCCTGCTGCTGCTGTAGAGTTACTGCTGGTGCTTTGTGGTTCCTGCGTGACGTACAGGGGTCAGCTTCAAGGCCTCCTGAAAACAGCGGTCAACTACATCATCCACAGGGGCATCTAAGAAGTTATTCTTGAACCTGGGGTCAATGAAACAAGCCATCTGCATGACATCTTTTGCTCTCTCTCTGTGTACCGGTTGTGTAGGTATTCTCTCATTGCCCGTTTCGTCTGCTTGGTCAGGGCTGGCTCCTCTTCATTTTCCTCCAGGACATCACCAGTGATGTGGTCAAGGACTGGCTTAATGGCTGATAAAGTTACTCGTGTCTCTGAGTAAAGTGCATCTGTAAACTTGCTCGGTGGTTCAAGGAGCTGGCAGACTTGCTCCATGACAACTATGTCAGTGTCCTTGGGCATCAGATGCCTAGCTCCTCTTTCTGCAGCCAGTGTAGCACAGACTGCCTGCTGCTGGCTGATAAACCGCTCAAGCATCTTGTATGTCGATCCCCATTGGGTCACAACGTCATGGATGAGAGCCTGCGGTGGCAAGGTGAGGGCAGCTTGCTTTGCTTTTCTCTCAGTCCTCTCTTTCTCTTTCAGCTCCGTGAGAAGCCTTGGACAAGATGACGACAGGCCCTTACTTCTGTTTCAACTCTCTGTATATTCACAGGCTTTGAGATGGTCAGGTTCAAATTGTGACCAAAGCATCCAAGCCACACATCTGGAAACTCTTCAAAGGCCTTGGTCATGTTGGTTGCGTTATCTGTGGTTATGGAGACCAGATCTGTCTTAGTTTATCTCCCACTCCTCCAACATATTTTCAAAAAACTGCAATATTTTGAGTAGAGTGATCTTCTGAAAAAAAAAAAAACTGGGTTTCTAAGCAGTGTGATTCCAGTTGCCAGTCTGGGGTGAGATAATGAACTGTAAAGCTGATGTATGGTGGACCACCCCCTCTTTCACTGGTCCAGAGGTCAGTAGTGGCAGCAAAGAATTCACCCTGAGCCAAACTCTTCTTAACATCAGCTTTGACTGCATTGCACATTTTTGGGATTTCAGTCTTAGAAAAATAATTGCGTGTAGGCACTTTGTAATGAGGTACGGCAACCTTCAACATCCTCAGAAAGCCAGGTCCCTCGACTATCCGGAAAGGCATCATGTCTTTTGCTATTAAATAGGCGATGGCTGCAGTCAGTTCTTGAGCCTCTTGGGATGCAGGCGCATAATCGGTCTGTTTTTGGAATGCTTGCTCAAGTGTCTGTGTCACTGATGATCCAGTAGCGTTACTCCGTTGCCTCGCTGTCTGTACCGCTGCTCCTCTCTGTAAACAAATATAAAATATATTTAATAAAAATATCCATGTCATTATTGTTATGAATCATTATCATTATTTAACTATTCATATCAATATACATACGATGAGTTTGCCTATACCTTTTTTTTTGCTAAATCAAAAGAAAAGGATTGGCTAAAAATGTATTATCTTACAGGGAATTTTAAAGGAAGTTCAAGGCATATTTGCCAGTAATTACAATATTTCATTATAACTATGCGTTGTTGATCATTTCGAGGGTAATAAATGTGCTAATTATAGTGCCAGAAATGTGTTACAGTTTCAGACAACTAAAAAAAAAAACTCAATATCAGGAAAATATTGTCCTCGGTTTGTGTCCTTCAAGTTAATATATTGCAGATTAGGGAAAATGTCATCAAGCAGTAATCATTATTATATTCATAATGCAGTGAGCAGTGGCGACCAACTCATCTGCGTCATGGAAGCCATAATGCATAACATCATTTTAATATGGGGTGTCCGTGACACGGTTTAACTGCTGGCAGAGGGCGCTGCGGCTGCAGTATATAGTGACTCGTTGCATTCTCCCTTAACCAAAAGTCCTCACGTCATGCATTTAAGCTAAAACGCTAACATTAACTTGCCTTCCATTGGCTGTAGAGTTGTGGGTGATCACACAGATGTGTCATTAGATTCGAAGTGTTGCTGCCTTTTGCAGACTTTTCCTGCACGTTTTGCAAGCAGGATAGCCGTCTTCTATTAACTGTCCCTCTGCATTTTTCAGATTTCCAAAATATGCTCATACTTCCGATTTAGTCTTCTTTGAGGGCTGATGGATGTCCTGAGCACTGCCGTCTCCTCCTTTGGCCATTATTTCAGCTTCAATTTAAAGAAAGTTTTGGTTGCAAACCAAAAAGTGCGCGTGAGCGGCAACTTCAGCAGATGCGACGGTGGCTGGTAAGGGTCACCGCGCCTAAACCGCGGCCACGGTAATCCGCCGAGATAATATAGTTTGTAAAAAAACAGGACGGTTATTTTTATTGTCAAGTGTTTTACTGGGGTTTACCGCTACATCGGTTACCGTGACAACCCTAATATGTATATATACACATGTATGTATGAATGTATATATACATATATGTATACATATATGTGTATATATACATACATATATGTATATATACATATACTTATGTATGTATATAATATATTTGTATATATATGTATATGTATATACATATATGTATATAAATATATATGTTGAAGCTATTTAGTTTATTATAGGCTTAAGTTATAGCCTAGTTTATTTTCTTTATTTTATGCTAAAGGTGATTTGTTTGTTTTGCATTATGCTTTTTATTTATTATTTTGGCTAATTAGTTTATTGTTTATTGGTCAGGTGTGGGTGATTATTGGTATAAATAGGTCAAGGTGGGTGGAGCAGCCAGGGCTGCGAGGGAACATGGTTTTTTACCACACAGAGACAGAGAGAATGCAAAAATCTGTGCTCTTGCTGCTTGAGTGAATAAACCACCACCAAACGCAATTTTGGCATGGTCATTGCTTTATTTGAAACCTTTTATTACTTCGTATTAACTCCGAGGAAAGTAAGAGGTTTATAATAGTTAAGAAATTTATTTCTACACAATTTAAACAAGACTAACTTAAACACTCTGTGCACTGATGGAACTAAGGTGGAGTGAGACGTGATGAATGATGATGGTGTGTGTGTGGAATGTTATTCAGAGCCACCGGATCCGGAGAAGCAGTTAATTCTGAGTGGGAGTGAATGTTTCGCTCTAAACTTTAGTAGGAGATTTATAACACGCATGAAACGCCATCTGTCGGTCTACGTACCCCAAGGAAAGCCTCCGTCAGATCCAGAATGCCGAGGTCCTCAAGGACCCTCTTTGGTACCGAAGACGGTAGAAAAGCAGCAGTGCCGACCAAACTAGTCTTGGAATGCTTCCAGGTCACGACAGGTTATCACTGGCGTCTCCGAGACCCTGAAGTGGTCGTGAGGTTCAGCTTTTATTCTGAAAGAACCATTGCGGTCAGTTGTAACTTGCAACAGATTTTATCCAGCTTGTCTGAGGTTCTTTATGGCTGAAGAGGAAGTCCAGATGGCCTGTCTGAGACTTCTCTAGAACGCTTTAAACTAAAGAAAAGGTGGCGTGGGATAGTTTTTATAATTGTCATATTTTGGCAGAATTTGACATGCAAAAGAGGGTTTATACTAGGGCAGCACAATATATCGTAAATATATCGTTATCGCGATATCAGCATGCACAATATGCAAATCGCAAAGAACAGAAAAATATCGCAATGAATGGTCAGCTCAAGTGTTTGCTACACATGATGCATTCTGTCAACCAAACAGAAACGTGATGTTTTTTTAACAAATCACATAGAGCTCTTCACCCATTTAGCCAATTGGGTGGTTCTCACTGGTTAGATGCCCGCCCCCGAGGCGGAGGGCACTTGATTTTGATAGTTAGCAAACACCTGAGTTAACTTTGCTCTGCTTTTCCCGGGATCCACCGATTGCCTTTTCTTGTTCATTTTCATTTTCCCTTTCCCCACATCTTTAGCTTTTCTCATTTTTATGATTTATTTATTTCTTTGTTTTTGATAAGTTTTGTTCCTGAGTTAAGTTTTTATTCATCGCAATTAATGTCGTCATTGCAATATTAATCATTGTTATTGAACATCGCAGGTTTTCCTAATATCGTGCAGCCCTAGTTTATACAAACACCACAGATACCCACGCCTAGTCCCAGAATGCGAAGGTTCTGATTGGATCAGACAAAAGGAAGTGTGTCATGTGACTTTAGCATTATGTGTCCTTAGTGTCTAGTGCAAATGCCCAGGATTATAATAACTTGTAAAATACTATTGATCACAGGATTATAATATCAAGTAATAACATTGTCATTTCACAGATTGATTGAACATTGGGCTCACATTATTAACAAAGTTGTTGATTATGTATTCATCAAAATAGTTAGTCGTCTTTGCTGTAACAAAGGTGAAGCAGTTCAGATGAGCAGAGTGCATGAAAGACCTTGGCCACTATCTCCTGTAGATTAGGCTGTCAGAGACTTTTATGTCTCTGCTCAAGCAGACACAGCAGATCATGACCTTTAGGTCAAAAACAGGACATTCATGACGCTATTATATATATATATATATATATATATATATATATATATATATATATATATATATATATATATATATATATACACACACACACACATACACACACACTTGTTTCCAGATATTTTGGACATTTTATGATGTCAGTCTTTTACGTTGTTTGAACTCCAAATTTTCTTTTTTTTTCACAAGGCCATGCTGTTTTTAAATGTACTATAGAAATAAAACTGGATTGGATTGAAGGTGAGTTTGTTATTTTGATGATAAATATAAACATATTGTTTTGACAATCTTCACAGTCCTGACCCCGAAAGACCCCATGGCAATAGAGAGATCAAACCTCCTCAGTATGCTGAAGTTAAGCACCAAGGTATTAATCCAGTCCTCCTTGAGTCTGGGCAGGACTCTGGACTCGGAGTACCCTCCTCTTCAGCAGTTTTTTATTGTCCTTGAACACTGCCTCAAACACGGCCTTAAAGGTGAGCCATACCAACATATACAGTAGGGCAAAAAAGTATTGTCAGCCACCAATTGTGTGAGTTCTTCTACTTAAAAAGGATGAGAGGCCTGCAATTTTCATCATAGGAATAACTCAACTTTGAGAGCCAAAATGAGGAAAAAATGTCCAGAAAATACTTTTTTTTAATATATAACTTTCTTTAGCATTTTTTTCATCTTTTACAACAGTAATGGAAAAAAGCAGGATAAAGAAAAGGGGAGGGGGTTACCAGGAAAAACAAAAAATAACCTGTGGGGGGTGGGATACATGGAATGTTCACATGGTAAAAGAGAAAATTATAGAAATGTCCACTTGTGACACAATATAAAAAAGTATGTCCTCATTTACTTGTATGTCAGCCATTTAGTCCAGTGCTTATTATACATGTGCTTTGATACGCATAAAAAGGGTCAGTCTCTCCATCTTGCATATCTCCTCTACTATCCCCATGGTTCGACCAGGGGAGCAGTGACTTTGAGCCAAGAAGTCCACATTGTCTGATTTTTAAAGAATTTATTTGCAATTTATGGTGGAAAATAAGGTATTAGGTCTTCTACAAACAAGCAATATTTCTGAGTCTCACAGACCTGTAACGTCTTATGTAAGAGCCTGTCCCCCCATCTGGTGGGTGGGGGTGGGGGTGGGGGGGGATGGGGGGGTTCTGCAAAGGAACCAGGATGACAGGTCCTTGTAAAGGAGAGAATGAATGGGCCATGTATCGTCACATTTTGAGTGAAAATCTCCTTCCATCAGCAAGGGCATTAGAGATGAAACATGGCTGGGTCTTTCTGCGTGAAAAGGATTCCAAACACCGCCCGGGTAACAAAGAAATGGCTTCATAAGAAGCATTTCAACATCCTGGAGTGGCCTAGCTTGTCTCCAGATCTCAACCCCGTAGAAAATCTTTGGAGGGAGTTGCAAGTCTGTGTTGCCCTGCGACAGCTCCAAAACATTGTTGCTCTAGTGGAGAGCTGCATAGAGGAATGGACCAAAAATACCAGAAACAGTGTTTGAAAACCTTGTCAAGACTTGCAGAAAACATTACATCTGTCATTACCAACAAAGGGTAAATAAAAAATTCTTGAGATGGACTTCAGTTATTGATCCGACAATGCGATTTTCTGTTGTTTTTTTTTCATATTATCTCACATAATTTAAGTATTCTTGTGATGAAATTATAGGCCTCGCCCCTCTTTTTGAGTGGAAGAACTTGCACACAATTGGAGGCTGACTTTTTTTGCCCCACTGCGTTTTCACACGCTGTAATATTTGAATCAAAACTAATAGAGTATTTACTTGGATATATTTCAGCCAAGAAATCCTTCATCAGTCACAAGTCCATATGGGGACCTCTTGAACTGGTTGAGAAGTTGTGTCCAGAGTCTGTCAACATTACCACAAGTGCCAGGGATCTTCCAGGAATCAAGTGAGTCTTTAAACCCATCCAGCCATCCTCTTCCACTTATGCGGAGTCGAGTCAAAGGGGCAGCAGCCTAAGCAGGGAGGCCCAGACTTCCCTCTCCCCAGCCATTTGGGCCATCTTCTCTGAGAGAACCCCAAGTTCTCGGCTCCTGGGCAGCCTAGAGACATATGCCACTTACACACTAGCATCGGCTACACTCCACTCCGCTCCTCCCGCCCTAGCATTGGCTCCACACTGCCCAGATAGCCCCTGTCGGCCCTAGCCTGGCCCGGTTGATTCCACACATGCTTGCTTAGGAATGCAGTCAGAGACGTTTTCAGCTCGGGGTTTCCGCTATATATTTTTTGTCGTGCCATGGCAAAATAAAAGCCACCACACCTTCAGAAGGATGAAAAAAAAAAAAGTTAAAACAACATACCTTAAAGGGACTTTACGGAGTTTTGAATTTTTATGCTCGCGATTGCCCCTTCAGGCCAAAAGCGTAACGGCAGCTTCAATAGTAGGCTCGTGCACGAGGCGCGCATGCTGTACGTGCACACTCCTTAACGCAAATACAGCTGAGACAGTCCCGTGTGTGTGTGTGGCCCGGAGGACAGGAGAACGCGCAGCTAATTAATTAAATAATTTGATTCTGTACCTTTCTTTCTCTTCAGCACAGCCGACAAAGGTTTATGATGGGTCAGTCCGTCAGCTTCACAGACCATTCCCTTCCCTTGCTTGAAAAATTGTTCCAAAATGAAAGTTGAACCCACATCTTTTTTATCTGTGAATTCAAAGCCGTTCGGCGAGTCTCAAATAAAAATTTGGGCATCTTACTGTAAAAATATATACCATTAATGTAAAAACTAAACTCTACATAAATTACATTCACATCAAGAATCAAACCTGGATCTTCTGCTCAAGAGTCTGATGTCTAACTAGTTGAGCTAAAGCGCCAGTGAAGTCTGGGGTATCTGTAACTTTTATATCCTAGATGACAGCTGAAACAACGTTCAAAGAATGGTTCGGAGCGAAAATGGCTATTTTGTTGCTAATTTGCTGGAAATATCTAGAAGAAAGTAGCTAAGGGTCCTCAGAAATGTAGCTAGGTTCATCACTAGGCGTTAGGAACAGCGACAAAGTCGCTAAGTTGGCACTACCTCACTCTCTGTTGCTTAAGCTACGGATAGCAAATGCTACGGGCTATGCCTGAGCGTGAATGCGCATGAAGCAGCCCGCTCGACCCGAGCAGCTCTCTTTTTCTGTGATTTTACAGAAAAATCGACATAAACAGGAAATCACAGTAAAAATGCCAGGGCTCATTCTACAGGACCAGGGCATTGCAGGAGAATGTATGAAGAAGAAATTTATTATTTCTATGCATGTTTTGGCTGTCAAACTTCCATAATGCCCCTTTAATAATTTATTTTGTGGATTTACATTAAAACAATGTAAATATGAGACATCTATAGTCTATATTTGCACATGTATACTAACCATAATCAGTTTAAAATGATTTTAAATATAACAAAACTTTGAAATTTGTTTTTCTTTGAAAAACTAGTACTGCTGGTTTTTCCCCGCGTGCGAAGGCTCCCTAAACGTGCATCACGCGCAGTGCGCAGGGCACAGAGGGGCCAGAGGGGCACCAAGCAGTCAGGTTTATGAAAAGAAAGACAGATTATATTAATTGTAGTATTAGCTACTGGACGACATGCACACACACGGCGTTATTTCACACACAGAATCCCATGTGTCTAACTCAAGCCAATGTGCTTCTCTCCGCTCTGGATGTGAGGTGGGCGGAGCGATGAGCTTCACCTGCGGTAGATGAGACCGGCAGACCCGGTTCTCTCTCCCAAAACCGTGAGTCGCCAAAACGACATGATTTTATTTAGAAATGCAGCCGATTTTGACGGTGCTTCAGTCCCAAATGTTTTTTGTCTAGTTTTCACTCATCAGCCACATGCTTGCTACTCTCACTCATAGCAAGCTGGGCTTTCTACCGTGGTGACTCGCTCACACGTCCCTCTCCTACATTAGTTGGTTACGCGGTGAATTAATGTTTTAATTCACCGCGTAACCAGTGTGTTTTTTCTGTTTGGGAGACGAACCCCTCCTCGGTAACCGGGTTACTGGTACGGAAGCCCGGAAAGGTCAAAATTCCTCAAACATATTTTTTCCTACTGGCTGAAAAAAATTTATTGGATAGAACAGATTAGATGTATTAATCCCACAGTGGGGTCATTCACTCATCACAGCAGCACATACACTTAGAGAATAATAACAAGATTACAGGTAAAACTGATTCCAGCCATGTTTGCTTTCATAACTTCAATAACTTCATGCTGATGACCCACATGAACATAATCCAGGGTTTCCCCCAGCGCTTTATAAGCCTGGCGACCCGCCAGGCTTTGCTTGGTCACCGCCAGGCTAAGCGTCATGCCCCGCCCTCCCCGACACTACCGTGTCCACTGACATGAACGGCGCACGACAGTGAAAGAAAAGTAAGTCCCTCCATCAGCTGATACTGGTGAGAAACAGCAGCAGATCATGTGCACGTGCATTCACCCTCCCCAAGAAGTCACACTCAGTGGCGCTTAAACCAGGAGCGGCGGAGTTGTGATGTAATCTTTATCCTATCAGTGAAAACTTTCACACCTGTTAATTCTTCCGTTTTGGGCTGGAAACTGTTTTAAAAACCGTAAATTATTTTACTCCTTGTTCCCGCCATCTCCCTGAATTATTATTTATCGAAAATGTTCCAGTATTAATTCACTCACGGAGAATCCCCCTCTCACGGAAACCGGTGAGACGCTTTGCTATAGCAGCACCTCCCGCCAAGGGCACCCCCAAAATAGAAATATTACAATTAATGAGTGAGTAAATAATCTGAATTAAAAAAAATACATATGTTTCTGCTGTTCACCATTTAAAAAAAGTTTTTATCTCTATAGTTTTTTTGTTTGTTTGGGAACACAGCAACAGGTGAATTAACCTAAAAAAATACATTTTTAATTTAAATTTGGGAGAACATTTTAAATAACTGACATGTATGTTTCTAAAATGTTTGTGTTTGTAAAATTGAAGTTAAATATTTTGGATATGTACTGTTATTTAAATAAAAACGAAAAAAGGCCCAATGCAGTACATCGCCACAGTCTAAATTCAACCAGAGTTACCACAAGGATCAATTTGGTGTGCCACCCCAAAAATTTCTTTGGCCCCATCTGGCCACCCCTATTAAAATTTTCTGGAGGCACCCCTGCCTCCCACTCATGCTTATCTGTATTTTTAATTCCTGAACTGAAAACAGGATGTCCAGACAGACTCCTGAACCCTTCGGTCAGCGCTTCTCCTCAGGAACATCCACACACGACGCTCACCTCTGCTGACTCAGTGACGTAGGAGATTGATTTAATGCAACATGACCGTTCAGACTGCACTCGCTTTCAAAAACATCAGTTATGTGTCGGATTCAGTACCACATATTCAAGTGACACTGATCCCATTCAAAAAATCTGATCGGTGCATTCAGACTGTCATAAAAAAAAATCAGATGTGGCTCACATGTGGGGAACAAAGCGGATTTGATGCGCTTTTGCTTGCAGTGTGAACGTAGCCTTGGACACTCTGGTGAAGTGATGGCCGGAGTTGACCCCTACCTGGTAGTGAGTTGGCTTCAACCGTGGAAAGGATGCCAGTCTTTAATCCCCTCATTTTTAAATAAACATTTAGAGAAACTCACTTAATTTTATGTTGTGCCTTTTTTCATCCCCAGAACTGGTTTAGGGAGAGGACGAGCCTGGTTACATCTGGCTCTCATGCAGAAAACCGTAGCAGACTATATGAAAGCCTTGCTGGAACGCAAAGACCTCTTGAGGTTTGTCAACGATGTGGATTCAGCACCAAAAAGAAGAAAATTCATGACTTGTTTTTTTTATTTTTATTTTATGTGTTGATTTAGTGAATTTTATAACCCTGGTGCATTCATGATGGAGGAGGAGGGAGCGATAATGGGAGGACTGCTGGTGGGCCTCAATGTAATCGATGCTAATCTTTGTATTAAAGGGGAGGATCTTGATTCACAGGTTAGTTTTTGAGACAGTTTGGACTTCTATCTTTTCCCAAAGATACAAGCTGATTCATTTTTCTTTTTTAAGGTGGAAGTCATTGATTTTTCCCTCTACCTGAAAGATCCGACCAATAATGAGACACACAAAGAGTAGGTTTTTTATTTTTCATGTATTTTTTAACTTTTGAAATTTTTATTTTAACTGTTGGTGCACCTTGAACTGTAATTTTATGATAAAAAGTCAAATTGAGCCCCAATGTATCCTCAGAAACTCATTCTTTTTCTTTATTTTCTCTCAGTGACTCCAAGATGACAGCTATACTGGATCAGAAGCACTACGTTGAGGAGTTAAATCGTCACTTGAGTGGTACAGTCACCGACCTTCAGGCTAAGATGGACTCGTTAGAGAAAACCAACAGTAAACTTGTAGAGGAGGTCTGATTTGCTTTGGGACTAACGTCAGTATAACATCTGTGTGTTTTATCATGACTGGAGTCAGCCTGAATAGTTATTTTTCCTCTTCAGCTGACAGCTGCAACAGACAGAATCAATTCATTACAGGAAGAGCAGGAGCAGCTAAGAAATGAGAATGAGGCCATCCTCCAGTTAAGCCAGAAAAAAGAAGAGGTCTGGCAGCATTTTCAAACTAATTGCTGCTATTTTAAATTTCACAAAAAAAAATTCCAAAACGCTTGCTTGTATTTCTAGGCTGCCCTTCAGGACAGTCAGGTGGAGCTGGAGACATACAAACAAACCCGACAAGGTCTGGATGAGATGTACAACGTGGTGTGGACACAGTACAAGGAAGAGAAGAGGATTCGACAGGTTTTGTATAGACATTTTCTAAAATAATGTTCCTCTCTGGGCACAAAAGTGTTTGTGAGTTTTTTGTGAGGGTTTGTTACACATTGTAGGTGAATAATTTTCTAGCCTGTGCAACAACTGAAACTGTAATGAAGCACCTAATAAAAACCCAAATACCAAACTAAAAGTGAACTAAATTACATTTAAATTGTCATCAAGAAAAACATTGCATGTCGCTTTTAAAGAAGTTTGATTCGTATATGTTCTTGGAAATTTTCTCAACCCTATTTTATACACTTAATAACATACTGAACTTCTTTACCATTTGGAGTTCCAAATCTGAAATCCATTTATTAGTCCATAATTCAATTCAATTCAGTTTTTGTAAAGGTGCGGTTCACTGAAAATGCATTTTTTTAATGATTATTTCTGATTATAATTGGTAACGCTGAGTATTTCATGCAGGCTGAACATGAAAATAGTTTCTTACACCTATCTCCTGCTTCTGGTGCCACCGGTCCCTCCGACCACCACCAGCAGGCAAGGTGGGTTAAGTGTCTTGCCCAAGGACACAACAGCAGAATTCTCTGTCCGGAACCGGGATCGAACCTGCAACCTGCAACTTTTAAAGAAAAGATTGAATTGAGATTTTTCTAGCAGAAATTGCGATTTCAGTTCAATTCACGACTTTTGTCAAACTAAGGTACAACACTAGCCTGCCAAGCCATCCTGTATATTAAGTGAAAAGATGGTCTAGATTCTAATCTAGTAAAACAAATCATTCACATTAATATTTACTATCTAGTCATACAACAAAAACAGTTGAAGCTATTGTAATTTTATCCCATTATTATATTTCTATCTTTATTTTTATTTTTTAAGGTGCTTGTGAAGCCGCTTGTGATTTTATCTAGAGAAGTGCTTTATAAAAAACATGTTCTTGTTGTACTCCAAAAATGCAAGAAGGGAATCTGAAGGTAGAAATAGCTTTAAAATGTATTAAATACCAGATAATGCACACAGTTTACCCTGTATTACCAAGGCAGGCTGGCTGGATGTTTTTTTTAAGCCATCTGATGGTTTTTCCTCACTAAAACTCCACTATAAAAGGGGTAACATGGGCATATTAAAGGTCTCAGTTGGGCCACGTAATAATAATAATCCCGGAGGCAGGGCAGACCAATTCTACCCTTTACCTTACTTAATTGCATTGTTGAAAATTTGATCCTGGCCCTTTTGTGTTGCCAAATATGTTTTGCCAGTATTCTATTCCATTCATCAAACTGTTTTTGGGTTATTTAGATTGGGAGACATTGGAAAAGATACAGCAATTTGAGGAAGGATGTTAATCCTAACCTGTTCCACTCGAGAGTGGAGACATAAGAAGGGAACATTATTCCAACGCTGTAATTCTGCTTGAAATGCCAAAAATAAGGGTCCATAATTAGTGTCAAACAATCTAGCTGGATCTTCAGTTAGAATGGTCCCCAGGTATTTAATGCCATCAGCATCCCAATTCCATAGTGTTTGTTGCATTTGTTTTTAATTTGTGTTGGGGGATTATAATTTAGTTTTAGCACTTGTGTTTTGTTGATATTTATTTTATAACCTGAATAAGAGCCAAAATCAGTCATTATTTTCATTAAGTTAGGGATTGATTTGGTAGGGTCAGTCAAAAAAAATTTGTATGTCATCAGCGAATAACGCCAATCTTTGTTTGCCAGATTCTAAGGTGACCCCTTTAATTTCAGTACCCTGCCATATATATTGTGCTAGTGGTTCAATAAAAAGTGAAAAAAAGTAAGGATGAAACTCCACAACCCAGACGGGTTCCTCTCTCTAAAGCTATTGTTTTGGTTAAATCTCCATTTATCCTAATCCTTGCCGTGGGTTTGTTGTAGAGCGCTGAAAATACTTAAATGGTATTGGGTGGAAGCCGAATGCAGACATGGTTTTATATAGAAATTCCCATCGTACTGAGTCGAACACCTTTTCAGCGTCAAAGCTTAATAGTATGGTTTCTGATTTAAGATGCCTGATCTGTTTTATAATTAGTGTTTTCCTGATATTGTCTTATGTTAGCCTGTTCCTAGTAAATCCTGTTTGGTCGTTGTGTATAATCTCCGGTAAAATTTGTTCTAAACGTCTGTTTAAGATAGATGTGAATATCTCGTAGTCAACATAGAGTACACTTAAAGGGTGATAGTTCCCACAGTCCAGCCTATTTTTTGTTTTGTTTGGGGATTACAGAAATTATGGCTTCATTTCAAGAGGGAGAAATCACTTTCTTTTTAATCACCCAGTTAAATGTATCCAGTAATGTTGGAATCAGTTTGTCTTGCATCTTCTTATACCATTCAGAATTAAACCCATCGGCTCCTGGGGCCTTTGCATTTTTTAGTTGCGTAATTGCCTGTGAACTTTCTTCTTTAGTTATTTTTTATATCAATCTCCTATCTTGTTCAATTGTAATTTTAGGTAAATTTAGTGTATCTAAAAAAGGGTCAATTTCATTAACATTTCGTAATTGGGGCTGGGAGTACAATTTCCCGTAGTATTCTTCAAAACATTGCTGTAGTTTCCTCTGCTCCGTTTCAACTGGGTTTGTGGTAGGGTGTTTAATTTTAGAGACTGTTCTCTCCACCTGCTGTTTCCTTAATCTATGACAAAAGTCTTAAGGCTTTACCTCCTGATTCATAGTACTGCTGTTTTGTAAAAAGAAGTATGTTTTTTAATGTCCTTTGTGAGTATGGTATCAATCTCTTTCTTTATTTCAATTATCTTTAATTTATCACTCTCTTGTTGGGAAGTGAAGTGTTTTTTCTGTAATTCCCTAGGTGTATTTTCAAGGTCTGCAAGTCTTTGATTCCTTTGTTTCTTTAGGGTAGCAGAAATCGCAATTATCCTTCCCCTAATTACTGTTTTTAAAGCATCCCACAATATCCCAGGGGAGACCTCACCATTGTCATTTAATTTTAGGTAAGATTCAATTTCAAACTTCAATTTCTCTCTAATCCCCTTGTCAATTAGAATGTTTGTATTAATTTTCCAAAGAGTAGATTTAATTCTGTCTTTTAGTTCTACAGATAAATATACTGGGTTATGATCTGACATTATGCATGTTCTGATGTCACATTTTATTACTCGAAATACATCTGTTTTAAACATAAGAAATAGATCTATTCTAGAATATCCATTGTGTGCCCCGGAGTAGTAAGTGTATTCACGGCCTGTCGAGTTCGTCTCCCTCCATATATCGATAATACCCATTTCTTTCAAGTACTTATTTACTTTTTTCCTCAGATGGCTGGAGTCTGGCTTGCCCTTTGAGCTATCAATTTTTGGATTTAAGTGAATATTAAAATCTCCCCCACAAATTAATATACCTTGACTTTTTTTAAGATTATTTCTAGCATGTGTTTATAGTCCAATTGCTGTTAGGTGGAACATAAACATTAAACAAACTGACGAGAATCTCAATTTTGCCTATTACCATAATATTTCTTCCTTCATTGTCCTTATATTCAGATATGTATTCGAAGTTATCTTTTTATGTGTCAATGTTGCTACACCTCTACGTTTACCTGAACTATGTGAGGAGAAATAAACTTTTGAATTCTACTTAATTTAGCATGTTCCGCATTGTTCAGATGGGACTCTTGTATGTATGCTATCTGGACATTTTCCCTTTTCAACTGTGTAAACATTTTAGATCTCTTGATTGGGTTGAGTATGCCATTTATATTTAGCTAAACGAACTTTAGCGAAATGCCAGACATCTTAAAGTACTTACATTGAATAACAAAAGAACCCGTGGCGGTCCTCAATCTCCTGCCCAGACCAGCAGAACAACTTCCAAAAGAAAAAACAATTTAAACAAGTTGTGAACATGTAAAAACCTGAGCTAGTAAAAAAGGGGGAAAAAACGAAAATTAAAAGTGGACTTCCTATGTGGGGGCTCCTGCTATGTGACCCTGTCTAGCTCCAAAGGGGCCCAAAGAAAAATCCCTTCAGTTGAGACCAGTGAAGGGTGTCTTTGCTGGGAGACAGTATTTTAAGAGCATTCCTGCGGAACCCATAGTTTTTTTTTTTACGGTTTAATCACCCCATATTTTTTTCAAATGCCCCAAACCATCCGGAGGTAAAAAAGAAATTATTAATATTTAATCCATTACCCCACCGGAAGTGGTTTTCCTAAATGTGCGGAGCTTCTCCTTGTAGCTGGCGGACCGAACCGGACTGGGCCGCCGTCCCCTCGGCTCGGACGGCGAGTGGCGCTGCTCCAGGTGAGCTGCTGGATTCTCTCCTTCAGTGAAGTCGGCGCGGGCTGTGTCCTGATTGCGTAGCCTCTTTTGATGAGATCCTCTGTCGCTTTGCTGGCTGACTCATATATTGTATTGCTGTCGCAATGCATCACCCGTAGTCTCGCAGGGAATAGTGTCTGAAACTTCACCTGTTTCTCTTTCAGCACCTTGCGGATGTCTGTATATTCCCTCCTCTTAGTGATAATAGGTGGTGGGCAGTCATGGTCGAGATTTATACAATTATTTCTCCATTCCAATCCTTTTATCTGCCATGCCGTCCGAAGCAGCGTCTCCTTTTTCCTGTCTCCTTTCTCCTTTCTCCTGTCAAGCTCAGGAGTTTGACAATTATGGAGCGGGGTGGTGCGTTTGCTGTCGGCTTGGGTCCCAGAGAGTGGTGAGCTCTTTCAATTTGCAAGTTTTGCAAATGCACATGCACATCAGTAGTTTTTACGGTTATTCATGGGGCAAAATCTCTGACATTTTTGAGGGAAAAAAATCAAGTTTCCATTAAAAGCAAAGCACAGAGACGCTGGAAAAAAATTAAACATCATCTTAGAGGCACTGATGATGAATTCTTATATGTCTGGCAACCTTTCATGAACCATTCTAAGTCTCTTCCACTAGATGTTACCCCTTGAGAATTATAATTTGTATTGACTACAGGTCCTTCTCAAAAAATTTGCATATTGTGATAACGTTCATTATTATCTGTAATGTACTGATAAACATAAGACTTTCATATATATTAGATTCATTACACACAACTGAAGTAGTTCAAGCCTTTTATTGTTTCTAATATTGATGATTTTGGCATACAGCTCATGAAAACCCAAAATTCCTATCTCAAAAAATTGGCATATCATGAAAAGGTTCTCTAAACGAGCTATTAACCTAATCATCTGATTCAACTAATTAACTCTAAACACCTGCAAAAGATTCCTGAAGCTTTTAAAAACTCCCAGCCTGGTTCATTACTCAAAACCGCAATCATGGGTAAGACTGCCAACCTGACTGCTGGATTGCTTCAGTGACATATGACAGACTCGCTCCCGCAGCCATTACACTTTTCACCTCTTGCACCCCCAGGGGTGCGCACACCACATTTAGAGAATCCCTGCCTTACAGCAATCTCCATACAAAGCAAGCATAGCAACAGTGAAGAGGAAAGTTCCCTTTAACAGGAAAGAAACATTCATCAGAACCTTGCTTATGAGTAGCCATCCACCACAAATGTTTTAACTTGAAATTAACCAGAAATGCTAACACTGGTTATCAGGAGCTGGAGCATGAGCTGGAGCTCCAGGTGGGGCTGAAGCAGGAGATGGAGGTGGCCGTGAAGCTGCTGGAGAAGGACATCCATGAGAAACAGGACACACTGGCCACCTTACGACTCCAGCTTGACCAGGTCAAAACTCTAAACCTACAAATGTTCCACAAATCTCAGGTAGACAGATTACAGCACCGGCTCTTTTCCCTCCTCGCACACAGAATGCAGATTTTAGACAATATGTGTGTTTTTCTAAGGACACGAAGCAACAAGCTGAAAAAAAACAGGCAGAGGCTGTGCAGCTTGAGCAGAAGATAAATGAAATGGAGAAAGCCATGGCGGAACTGGAGCAGAGGTATGAATTAGTTTTTTATCTGTGGACTTTTTGTTCCAAGGTTGTGATTAAGCGGCTCCATCCCACCCGCTAATAGCATGTTTAAAGGCAGACACACACACACATACAAATATCCACACACTCACTATCTGATGACATGTCCTTACCTGAATTTTGGTTAAAGCCACAGCCTACTCATCTCCCCCTTCCTGCAGTGCGCGTTTCGATGCTGCGTCAGTGAGGTGAAATCACCGCAGCACAGGTGATGAGCTTTTTTTCCTGCTCCCCTGGATGTGTAGGATATCCAGCTCCCCCATACAGGGCCGTTGCTAGCTATTTTGGTGCCCTAAGCACAAAGGCTTTGTGGTCCCCCCGCAAGCGCTTTGCCTTAAATTCTCTTTAATTCTCTTGTATGCACAAACTGCTTATTATTTCCAAAAAGTAGGACTGATATTTACATAATATAACATACTCAACACAGGAACTTCATATTGTTATTATTTAGAACTATGTAACAGATCCACACAAGCACCGGTTGTGGCACATGTGTTTCTCCAATGTAATTTTCAGATGCTTTTTCAGATCCAGGACTCACTCTGCCTTCAGAAGTGCTGGCTGTGGGCTGTGCTCGGCCTGTAGGTGTGCTTTACTTTGTAATTCCTGGTCAGGGCTGGGTGATGTTGTAGAAGGTTCAGACGTGATGGCTGACAACTGATCTTGAGCTCTTGAACTGCTGGTGGAGGGCTGATCTGAACTTTTGGCGTGAGCTCCTCCTTGAATGTACTTGTTCACTGAGCCTGCATTCAAACACAAAAAGATAATTTATCATATGCATTCTACAATAAGATAAAAGTTTTAAACCATGGTAAAAAAATACTGAAATAGATTATTTATAGGTTTATATTGGCTTATAAATCACTGGCATGTGACATGACTGAATTCAAAACTACTTAACCTTTATTAAGAACTAGAGAGGCACAATATACACATTTTATACACAACTAGAAAATTCTGAATATGAAGGGAGGAGGTTAGCATAATGGAGAGGAAACAGAGGAAACTTTATTTTACTTGAGAAAGATGTTTTAAGATGAACTTCTTAAAACAAAAAAAATCTTCAAACTCTTCAAGGTCTATTTTTAGATCATGGTTTCTCAACCTTTTTCAGCTAAACGCCCCCCCAAGTCATGCTGAAATCCCTTACTGCCCACCAATGTCCCATGCAGAGAAATGGAAAGTTTTTTAAAATAAAAATCATAATAAAAAAATAAATAAACAATTCAGCCTTGAGTTTGAAACTGTTTCATACAAATATGTCATAAAAAAGTATCATAAAAAGTGTTTTTAGCTATTAGCAACAAGATATTGTAGGAAGCTAATAATCCTCGGTCCAGTAAATTTGAGCTTCGAGCAAACATACTGCTAATGCTACCTCTTTTAGAGGGTCTCTCTTTAATTACCTGAAAATAGTTCAGTTCCTTTAAAGCTTTGTCTGGATGCATTTTGGACTCCTTAAGCCGGGAGGATTTCATCGTTTCGTTTCAAAAAACTTTTCACAAAGCAGGCACATGGGGAGTTGTGGATTCGTGGGTGAAGGAATACGTCCATACCGAAGGTAGTGCACATTGTACTGTCGACACTTCTTTTTATTCTGAGCCATTGTCTGTTATGAATGTTCTGTACTGCTAGCGCCCACCATTAGCATCTCAGCGCCCCCTTCAGTGGCAAAAAACTTTCACCGCCCCCTTATGTAGTCTGAACGCCTACTGGGGGGCGCTACAGCCCCCGTTGAGAAACCCTGTTTTAGATGAACAACCTTTAACACTGTTCAGACTTATTTTTTGATACATGTCGCATGAACAGGCTGAATAAAAGGATATTGCCCTTTGTTGCATTTAACTATTTCTTCTTCTTTAAAGAAGTGCTGATTCAGAAGAGAATAACTGCATTTAGGAAGATGATGACTTGCTACGTTTTTTTCTCCAGCAGTAAAAAAGCTCTAAAGCTTCTCTGAGTTTCTCTCCCTCTCAGCCTCTCTCACTCAGCTACTAACGAACGCCCGGTAGGTGGACGGGAGGCTGCGGGACAGAGTGGTGCATTATACTTTTAACAGACTGGAGAAGCAGAGAACGAAATCTGCCCAAACCATGCAGATAGAGTCAAAATGTTAAATGTGCAGAAGCAGAGTGCGAAAAACACCAAATAAAAGTCCTGAAAAGCAGCATGCTTACCAAACTCGGCAAAATTTGACCAAAAACAGATTAACAGCAGTAACAAGTCCGAATTTAAGCTAGATCAACCGACCCTCTGAACTTCACCACACATGTTTAGAATTAGAAATGGATAAAAAATTAAGAATTTCCATTAAAATACTTGTCCTACCTGCATGGACGAAATTTTGGGGGGGGGAGGGGGGGACAGGGGGATCATGTCCCCTCCACTTTTTCCGAAGTCAAGTTTTGACCCCTGCACTTTTTACCATCCAAAAACAATATTATGATATATCAAATTGACACTGGTTGAGCTCTAGGACCAAGCAGAAAACAACCATTTGTGTTGAAGCCTGCTTCCCATTAAAACACATATGTCAGACACAAGGCTCGCGGGCCAGATGCGGCCCGCGGAGCATTTTTATGTGGCCTGCGAGATAAATATCAAAAATATATTAAAACTGGCCCGCTGGCCGATTTTTCTGCAAAGACTTAAACTCCCATGATGCTTTGCGGCGTCAGCGCGGAGCCGACGCGCCCCCTCCTTTGTGTTTTTTCCAGCGCCTGCTGCCGGTGTCAGCAGCTCCGCTGTCTCGGACAAACTACACTCCTCTCACTCGGCGCCGAGTTCACTCAGCTGTTTTCTGACGTTGAAGCCCAGAAACGGAGATTCTAGCCGCTCAGTAATGTGTTCACGACTGAAAGAGAAAGTTTTCCAACTAACTTCCAGACAGAGCTGATATAACTCCAGCGAGCAGCGACACGCTCAAACCAGCACGACTCTGTGGCTGCTGTCGTTGTGTTTCCTCCCCGACACACAACAACGTGGTCAAGCTGCTCAGACATGTTTAGCAGCACAAACCTATGTGAGCACCTGTTGTCATCTAATGTTGTCATTATTATGATGAAGATGAACAAAACAACAGGAGTCTCCTCCTCAGCTCAGATCAACCCCATGATGCAGGTATCTGGCTGGAACAGGTGAGCATCACAGTAAACCAGTGGAGCAAACTGAGCTTTAAATATGTTGGTTTTATGCTCTTTTTCTGCTCCAAAACATGAAAGTTAACAGATGAGATGTTGCATTTTCATTTAAGATAAAATGATATTTTTATTTTGTTGTTGGCCCGTGAGAAAAGATTTAACCTACAGTAAACAGGAAGTGGAAAGGCTGCAGATAGATGAATAGAATAGAAAATCCCTTTATTGTTCCTCAGTGGGGAAAGCTCGATGTCACAGCAGCGAAGACACTTATTACAGGAGAAAAAAGGAGAATAAAAAATAAGAAAAATGAATAGACAAGAAAATATAAGTCCTGAATAGATTTATAAAATGCTGATTATACCACAAGTAATGAATACCACTGATGCCTTTTATTTAAAACTGACTTGCTCATGTGTAATTTGGTTATTCCACATTCAGTGTTAATGCAGAAATAAGTTTGTTTCCAAATTTAAAGGTTCAAAATTGCATATATATTGATAAAGAAAACGTGCAAATTTGCCATCACTTTTTCAAAAAATATTAAGTTTGGCCCTCGACTCCGTCCCAGAGTTTCATTTTGGCCCCGGGTGAGTTTGAGTTTGACACCCCTGCATTAGAACATACTGTAAAGATGACACCCCCCCCCCCCCCCCCCCCGTGTCCCACCCCCCCCACTTCTAAAGTGAAAATTACGTCCATGCTTACTTGCAATCGAAGCAACAGCATCATCCCACAGTTTTTTCTTTTGTCACTTTATGTTTATGTATTTAGCAAACGCTTTTGTCCAAAGCGACTTACAAGTGATCAGAATCAGAATAAGCTTTATTGCCAGCGACCCAGAGCATAGGAACTTGACTCCGCAAACACAATCTGACCAAGGTTAAACACACACACATGTAGACAAGACAGGTACAGGCAGTCCACGAGAGCAGCCAGAACGGTGCTCAAATATTGCCGATTTACTACTCCTGCAGCCTTTTTGGAGCCATGACTGTGTCCGCTGCATCCTCCGCAGGTGTGCTGCCGGGGGGACGGTGAGACACGGTCCATCTCCTTTCCTTTTTGTATTGTTTTCTCTCTGTAAACATGCTGTTAACTTGCTTTGCTTATCTTCTAATTGAAATCTGTCTTTATCATGTATATATTATTTTTTCATAAGCTTGCGTTTGGTGCCCCTCCCCAGGCGTGGTGCCCTACGCGCTGTGCGTGGTGTGCATGTGCGGAGCGCCGGCGCTGCCCCCATAATTCGATCCCTGCTCCTGGATGAAAAACCGGACAATTTCATCAATACAAGAACCCCCCCGGACAGAGAGTGAAAAGTGGACATGTCCGGGGAAAAGAGGACGTATGATCACCCTTGTTTAATATAAAGCGGGAGATTACAGATACAGTATTTTGCTCGTGTAGCGATGCATATAGATTTATATCTATATTTCAAAGGTGGCGTAGATTTAGCTTGGCACCACCCAGTTTTGTCTGTGTGAACTGGGACACTGGATTTAATATTTATATCTTCTCAAAGTTAACACCACACTTTTATCTGAAAGCTGAGTTCTTGTCAGAATGCGCCGGCTATTCTCGAGATTGCTAGGCAATGATCAGGCATGATTTAAGTTTTGTGAATTTATTACAAACATCAGTTGTGACACTTGACAAAGAGAACCAATCGCAGCTTATTGTTTCATGCATGAGAATAAGTAAGTGGATAACCACAAGGCTTTATGGCAGTGCTATGACATAACTAGTCTGTAATAAAAGTGGAACTTTGGTGACACATAGGATTATAGTAAATATTAGGAATAACTTCTGTAAGAAGAACAAGTGTGTGTGTGTGTGCGTGCGTTCCTATGGGTATAGGAATACAGGGGGTGTGTGTGTGTGTGTGTGTGTGTGTGTGTGTGTGTGTGAGTGAGAGAGAATAAGGATTCGTGAGCAGCAGAGAAAGAGGATAAATCTTGAGAGATAAATGAGAATTTGGATCGAAAATAACAAGCCATAAAAGTTTAAGTCTGAATTCACTAATCAGGCTTAGCAGGAAAAGTCAACCAGATGAAAATGATTCACAGACCTTTTCTCCGTCGCCCAAAAGGTGTCCTATGGGCTGATTCAGCCGGTCCAGAAGCTTGAATGCGGCCTTCGGGGGCCGTAGGACTTTTTGGCACCTCAGCTTAGGTCAACGGTGTCTGCAGGTATATATGTCGATGGCGGGGGCACAGATCCGATTTTCAAACTGGGCGGGACAAAGTTCCAATGTACCCTCCCCCAAACACACACACACACGCACGTACACATACACAAACTTGCAAGCGCCTTAACTAGAGCTCAGTCAGTTTGTGTAATTTCATCCAATGGTTTACGTAAAAACTAACATTTATATACGTGTTTGAAGCCATTATGCAGTGGAACGCTGGCAACAAAGCTCTGCCTGATCAACACTATAAATGATAAATGATCCGCACTTGTAAAGCACCTCTCAGAGTAAGGACTCCAAAGCGCTTTTTACACTACAGTGTATCATACATCCATTCACACACATTCACACACTGATGGTGATGAGCTACGATGTAGCCACAGCTGCCCTGGGGCGCACTGTTAGAGGCGCTCCACTATTTAATTCAGTCATTTGTTATTCTTCCAATCGATTACTAACCAAAACCTCATGCTTTATGCAAAACAAATGATTTTCAGCATACTAATCTTTACAGAAAACATAAAAGCCCTAAAAAACTGCACATAAAATATATTTAAAAAATGAAATTCACTTGTCACTTAAGAGTAGTGGTTCCCAAACTTTTCACCCTGTCCAACAAATGTTCCTTCGCATTTTTACGTTATTTAGAATTTTTCATTATATTTGGAAAGCTTTTATTTATATATAAATCTCTTTTTATATTTTATATTTGACTTTTTTTATGATTATGTGGCACACTTGACTTCCGTATATAAGGCATCGGCATCTGCCCCTTTTTACGGCTTTTTTTTTACAATGTCGCTACGTCTGTCACGTTAGCGGTGCTTTTACCATCATTTCGCATCACTTCCCAGAGAAGGTTAAACCAACATCAAACCCAACGTTTGGAGCTTGTAAACTCCACACACCTCTTGTGCAGCATCAGCTGTCTGAAGCTGCAGCAGCGTCAATCTTCCCGGCCGGATGAGTGAATTTCTTCATCAGAGTCCATATTTTGCTTCATAATCGGAGTCAGTCATTACCAGACAAAGTGATCAGTCAACAAAGACCAGACCTGCCAGCAATTATACATTTTATCTAATATTTGCGCTCTTCATGTTGCACGCATCTCCTCCTCTCCCTGACTGGGAGCCTCTCAGCGGGAGGCATTTTTCAAGCTCTAAAAACTCAAATATTGCTCAGCCTGAAAGTTACACATCTCCACTTTCTTCTGGTGTAAAGTAGTAACTTCATGAGGGATCATATTTGTAGATGAGACTTGTTAAAGTCAGCAATGGGGCTTTGGCACTTATAACGAGTAAGTCCCAACACTGACCCAACATGCATAAACAAAAACCACTGGAGGGCACTGTGGCTCTTCCAACTAAACTTTACCTTCTCCAAGATGGAAAGTCCATGATCACAATTTAACACAGTTATTCATATAAAGCCTCAAAAAGTATTACTTTAGCATCAAAGTATTACTTTAAACGGGAAAGAATAAAATTCATGTCTTAAAACTGGACAGTTTTACCATTAGCATGAATTTTAACTGGAGAAACACCTAATGACAGAGGTTTAACATAAAAGAAAACACAAAACAAACAGTTTAGGTCTGTGGCTGATAAGAATTTAACTTGGAGCACCTTGATTTCTATTTTAAGGGTGAACAACCTAAACACCTTCTTTGATTATAGATAAACAGAAAAATACCAGGGTTTTGATAAAAGCGAGATCCTGGAATCTTCCAGAATGACCCTTGAGAAGTTTTATGAGCACCTGGCCTTGGGGGGAGAGTCAGTTATTGGCAGGTTGAGGTATGACAGACCAAGTCCTGATAATGTCCGGCTTAACAAATCACATGGTAAAATTTACGTTCCTGGGAGAAAAATGTAGGAGTTAACCAGAATGCTCAAACTGCAGGCCAGTTTCAAATTCCCCTCTCTATTTTCTTCTGCTAAATGTGAAAGAACCCGTTGTGTGAAAATGTTATTGTTCTTTTCCGTGTAAATCCATACAAAGTTAACCTGAGGATATAAAATGTGGATTTCCACTACACTCGTGCCCTTGCTGCCCTGGGCCTGGGCCCGTTAGTTCGTGGACCCATGGGCAATTGCTCAGTTGCCCATATGGTTAATCCGGCCTTGGCTAGTGGCTACTTACCATTTAGAGCTGGGTCGTCAGGCACCTCACAAGCTCAAAATGATAGGGCTCAGGTCTGCTTGTCTCCACCAAATAGCCTTATTTCCTTCCTCTTTTTTTCTCTGGGTAAGGAGGGGGAGAGACGTCCTCCATTTCAAATGACTGCTCAGAGTCAAAAGAGCTAGTGTGCCCTCGTTGGCTATCCATTTTCATCACTGCTGCAGCTCCTCCCTCTCGGTCTGCGAGGCAACACCAGCTAGTGACGAATTTTTCAAAATTGAAATGTGGTTGGAATAAGACTCAAAGGTATTTAAAGTGATTGTCAAGCCTGCCTCAGTCTGCTCTTGATTTAAAGAAGACGAGTCGAAATCCAAAGTTGATGCCAAAGCTGTTTCAAACAAGCTACAGTCGTCTTAGTTTTGCTCAGTCACACTAACATCCAGCCCACCAAATAGAGTGCTGTGATTGGCCCGCTAAACAGAATGGTGTGATTGGACTGGCAGTACACTGTCCGGGGCTGCAGAGGTTCCAATGGAGCGTGGCAAGACCAACTTGCAGAGCAAAATCATTTTACTTCGGCAACAGAAGGTCCAGATTAAAAATCACCATCTTCACATTCAGATGTGGCAACATGGGCTTTCTTTTATTTTTGGAGCCTCTTGAGGTGCTAAGAAGAATCTAAATCCTGACAATGATTAAGAATAAAATATGCAACAATAAACACATTTTCATCTTGATTTTTCAGATTACAGAACTCTAAGAGAGAGCACAGACAAACCGACCATTCGGACAAAGACATGAAGGTGGAGCTGGAAGGAAAGATTGATGCGTTGCAGAAACAACTTACAGACTTGGATACACTAAGGTAGAAATGCATGCGCACACACACAAGGAAGAAAACATTTTGCATGAAAAACTGGGATTTACAAAAAAACAAAACAGTTTTATAGAACTTGTTAAAATAGTTATAAAGAAGCCAAATTGAATAAGCTAATCATCTCAAATCTGATTCAGAGAAGACTGTTCTTGTATTTATGCAATTCAGAGAGACATCAGACATGAGGCACAAAGGAAAGTGATAGGGAGTTTGACCCAACATTAAACTGTAATAACTCCCATATTACAGGTCAGTTTTATGAAGCACCAAAAATGTTTCCATCTCTGTTAAATGTCAAAATTAGCAGAATGAGAACTTACATCGATTACTGTGGTTTAAAGGTTACATGTTGTGTTCTGATCCTGCTCAGAGTTAAGTCTTTTATTTTTTCTCCTTAGAATGGGGTTGGAAAACGAGCTGTGCTCTGAAAGGGAAAATAGACAGAGTTTGCAACAAACTCTCCGACGACAGCAAGACAGCAGCAATGAACTCTATACCCAGCTGCAGCAGCTGCAGGGCCTGCAGATGGTGGGTGAAGCCTGAAAATTCCCGCTGTTTTCAATGTATTTTATACTGATTTGGTCTCGTACTGGTAAATGTTGTCCTTGCATCTCTTGTAAAAGTATTGTGCATAATTTTAGTATATGTATAAAAAAAACCTACAAAGATTGGATTTTATTTAGTTAGATTTTAGTATGCATTTACTATGTAAAGTAGTACACGGTTTCAAATTTTGAATTTCTTTCAGCCAACAAAAATAAATGGTATGCTGATTTTGGTTGGAAAGGTGCAGGAGTTTTACACCACTGAGGTTTATTTAATTCTTTTGAAGACTGATTTTAGTCCGTTTCTGCAAAGGGGCCTTTGGCCCCTCCCATGAGTGGTGAGCCATGGGAGGGGGTTCCAGCCTCTCCTTCTTGGGCTTTGCCCAGTCAGGCTCCATGGGGGAAGGTCAGACCACCAGGCACTCACCAGCATTCCCAACTTCTAGGTGTCTGGGTGAGGGAATAGTTTAAATTGTTATCGATCATCATAAGGGGTCTTCCTCACCTAAGACATGTCCGGCATGGGTGACCCTACCAGAAGCACAAAGCCTCAGACGACGTAGCTCCTGGGATCAGTGGGACACAAACCCCTCCACCACAGTAAGGTGGCAGCAGCCCATGGAGGGGGAGCCAATTGAGGTGGCTTAGGCATCTGGTTAAGATGCCTCCTGGACGTCTCCCTAATAAGGTTTACCATACCCTACCACCTTATTTGTTAAGCACTTTTATCACAGCATTACAGCGGGCCAAAGCACTGCACAATAAAAACAAGCAAAATAATCAGATAAGACTGTGAAAACGAAATGAATAAAAACCAAACGGGCAATTAAAGCCAAAAATTTGGTCATCGGAAATTTTCATCGGCCAAAACGTGTAAATCATAAAAACCACAGTCAAAATAGGTGAACCCCATTTTTGTTTCATCTTGCTCCCTCGTGTGGCAACTTGCTCTTTGAATTTGTTTTTCTTTTTAATTCGTGAACAAAAAAGATTTTTTATGGAAACATGGAGCTGCCACGTGCACAAAGTAACACTTTGTCTTTGCTGCTAATCTCCCCATCCCTTTTGTCTGCACAAACACTCAAAGTGAGACTTCAGCACTGCAGCTCATGTTCTCGAGAGGAGGAACAAATCCGTTGCGGTAATCCCACACAGAAAAATTCAAAGGGCACTTGACACTTTGCGATTTTAGAGAACATATTTAATTCTACATTCTTTCTCAGAAGGCCTTTCAGCCTTTATTATTTAATATACACGAGTGGGGTCAAGTGACATTTTATTTTTGAGTCCTAATTTATTTTGTGCATTATGTCAGTGTTAAATATTTTCATGCTTCTAATAATTGACATTTCTTTCATTGTTTCAATTTTCTGCTTTGGTTTCCTCATTTTCAATTTCGGCCAAGAATTTTCATTTTGGTGCATCTGTAAAACCATAAAATAAACAAATGTAAAATCAAGCAATCGAAATTGAAAGGAGGGAAATGGGTTTTGTGGGCACATCAAACATAGGAGACCTGAGGGAAGAACCAGGATATGCTGGAGGAACTATGTCTCTCAGCTGATCAGGGAATGCCTTGGGATTCCCCTGGAGGTGGCAGGAGAGAAGAAAGTCTGGGCTTCTCTGTTTAGTCTACTGCCCCTGCAACCCAACCCTAGATAAGTGGAGGAAAATGGATGGATGAATGGACTGACTTAATACTTGCTGTTGCAGGAGCTGCAGGAGTTGAAGCATGAGAAAAAGCAGCTACAACAGAAATGTGAGCAGCAGGAACAGACTCTACAGGAAATGGGACTGCACCTTAGCCAGTCAGTAATTCCACCTTTCCTCCTCTCAATCATTAGTCCACTTTTCTGGTTTAAATCCCCTTTTTTTGATCTGTAACAGGTCTAAACTCAAGATGGAGGATTTTAAGGAAGTCAACAAGGCCCTTAAGGTTAGTATTTATTGCATTGAGTGTATAAGTGGTTATGTTGATACAGAATCTTAAGCAGATTTCCACCGCTTCAGGGTCATGCCTGGTTGAAAGATGATGAAGCTACACAATGCAAGCAGTGTCAGAAGGAATTCTCCATCTCACGCAGAAAGGTTGGCTAGTTGTTATTTTTGCCTTCTGTTGACATGTTGCCACAAAGACCTAATGATCACCTGTTGTTTGCAGCATCACTGCAGAAACTGTGGAGACATTTATTGCAACAACTGCTCCAGTAATGAACTTGCCTTACCCTCCTACCCTCGGCCAGTGAGGGTGTGTGACGTGTGTCACGCTCTCCTGCTGCAGAGAAGCTCATCTACAGTTTCTTGAAAAAACACCTTAAAGCCTTCTCACTCTAAATAAACCCAATCATGCATTTTAAAACTAATAAATTTATAGCTATTTATAATACTAGTTACATTAAATCATCTGGTGATGGGGCCGGCTAATGAAGGCATGGATACAAAGTTTTTAATGATTCACCATTTCTTTACTGATAATGTAAAAATTTTTGATATTAATCTGATAAAAATACTGTTTTTGTTCTAAACTAGAATGTCATGCTCTAAAGCCTGTTCAGCTTTTGTTCAATTAATCTGACATATGACATGGATGCAAGTTTGTGTGAATGTATTAAGTTATATCACGTGAACGTTTTATAGATCAGGTCAATGTCTACAAAAACTGCCCCTGTATCCCAGGAGTGGGAACTGATTGTTTCGTTTGATAAATAAATAGTCTTGTTTTTCCCAAATTCTTACCAGTTAGATATTCCAGACTAGTTTATTCACTTTGTGCACAGATAATACAAATAGTATTTGAAGCTGTAAAAACATCCATTGTTGCAAAACGTATTTTCCACAGATGTAGCCCTCATTAAAAACCAATTCTGAAAACAGTCAAAACTCTAGCAAACGTGATGTCCTCAGAGACATGAGAAGTCTATCAGATAAACACTAACTAAAAAAAGACAAGGTGGGGCCAAAATCCTGTTCTGAAACATCAGAAGATACCAAGCAATATTCGTGCTCATGCACTTCGACTTAATGTTTACCAGCACAGGATGAGTCCGTTTTCAGGAACAAGGCAAAGTTACACACTCAAGGGTTGAAACTACTTAACGGATGTCTTTTGTACGTTAATTCTGTGTGTTTTCCAACACATTAAAAGAGTTGTTTTACCTTGTTTTGCTGACGTTGAAGTCATCAAAACAAGGTAAAACAACTCTTTAGCTGTGTTGTAAAAAGAACTGAGTAACGCAGTTACTTAACAGATAGTTTGGGCAAAGCCAGATCTGTAAGGAATGGGGCAGAACAGTGTAGGTACATTTTTTATGACAACAGATCATTTCACTTCTGACAATCATTTAAAGAAAAATACAAACCCTCAGTATTCAAATCAACCTCACATGCCTCTTTTGTGTTTGCAAGGTGAGGCATTTCCATTCCTTTCACAAAAATGGTGAGTTAAAAACAAAGACATAAGGAAAGGATGAAAAAAAAACAAATCTACATTCCCCACCCCCCACCAAGTCCATTCATTGAGCCTCTGTTTCCACCACCTCCACCACTGCCATAGTAAGTGCTTCCCATTCCACCCTGGTTACCTAACAGGGAAAGAGAAAACACATTTTATAGGACCCAGGAATTTATCAGTTATTACTTTGCAGAAAAAATTATTTCATTACTGCCACACAACTCTCATTTTACGATGACTTCGCATCAAAGTCTAAATGAAAACATATCAAATAGCGTGGCTAGATATTTAAATCTACAAGATTCATTTGGTTTCTCTTGAGGCTAATCCAAAAGAGTTCAGATTAAGGCAACTGGACTTCTTTGGTTTCTCTCCCATATTCCAGTCTGAATAGACAAATCTCCTTGGATGAGAAGTGAAAAGTCTTCAAGAAACTAAAAAAGTCCAGATGCCTTCATCTGAACCCTTTTGGATGACAGGACCTTTGAGTGTTGCTATGCAATTCCCCGCCAGGGCAACATAGGGCATTGCACTTTTCTAGGGTATCCTACCGCCATTACAGTCATGTATCTGGTGCATAGTATCTAATGTCTATAGATACTACTATACCATAGATACTGATACTATGGTGTGTAAACACGGCCTGGCCGAAACGATAGTCGCCACCTGGATTTAACTAAGTTTTTAGTTTAAAAACAAAGACCTAAGGAAAGGATGATAAATGCTTATGTTGTATTTTGTGCCTGTAGAAAAATGTTTCAAGATAGCATCTTTCATAAGATTGTAATGTGTTTAAATGTTATTGTTAACCAATAAAAACTTAAACATGTTTTTAAAAAATAAATTCATGAAATTACTGATGAATAAAATTTAAGACATTAGATCATTCTAACATCAGTTGTGACATCATTATGGCATATGATGGTAAGCTGTCAAAGATGGAGGAGCTGACACTCACTGTAGTCACTGTAGCCCCCCATACTTCCTTGGCTGCTGTACCCTCCAGAGTACCCTGAGCCCAGCTGGCCACTACTGTAGGATGACTGATTCCCTGTAGAGAACAAATCATGATGGGTCTAAGAGGGATTAAAAAAATGGAATGTGTAATGTTTCTAGACTAAAAATCACCCATGTTACCCATCATCTGGCTGCTATAGGCTCCATTACTGCCACCTGCTGTCGAGTTCAAGAACAGCTCAACATAACGGTGCTCTGAGGGGCAGAAAAAAAGTCATGTAGCTCTGAAAAAGATGAAAGGCCAACATTTGAATTTTCAAACAAACTCACGCATGTTGGCTTTGTCTTTGGACATGGCTGCCACAGCATCTTCATGTGTGGCAAACTCTACATCCGCCTCTCCAGTTACCCGCCCATCTGGACCAATCTCAATATGGACCCGCACAGGATTCAAAGGAGAGAAGAACTGCAGACATGAAAACAAAAAGTGACTGGTGGGACCTTGCTCTACATGTACAATCCTATAATCTTTAATAATCACTTTGTGTGTGATGAGTCAGAGCCTTTACATGCATATCAGAAAATCCAACTATTGCCTTAAAGGTGTGGAACACAAAAAAGTGTTTATAATCAGAAATAAAGATGTTATAATCAGTCACTGAATTTTTCATGCAGGCTGAACATGAAAACTGTCTCCTATGCCTATCTCTTGCGTTAGCTCTGGATAGAAAAAAGCCTGAAACACTGAGGCTTTAAACATCAGACAGAGGTACGTTACATGGTCAATTAACATTCATTCATTTTAATTCAAGTTTAGCGACAAATCACAAGAGTTGTCTCAAGACACCACAAATTAAACACTCCAAATCAGTTAAGGTCATTAAGCCAATCAGTAAAAAGTTTCCCATATACGGAACCCAGCAGGTTGCATTGAGTCACTAGGTGTGTCCGAATCCACGGGCAGGATGCTTATGAGTATGGGTCCTTGCCGGTCTAAGACCAGAACCCAGCGGCTCTGAATTCGGGCAGTCTAGCCTTCACCTCTACGGTGGCCCGTAGGTCCCATCACAGCCGTTCATCACAGCAGCTACACGCAAAGGAAAAATGCTAAAGCTAGCGAAAATCGAGCAGGAATATTAAGGAGCTAAAGCAGCTTTACCTCCATCAGCAGCGCTTGTTCACAACCGTTGTCAGGTAAAGTAACTGTTTATTCTAGAAGCTTTCAGGACTTACATGTTAACTTTAGATGGTTTCATGTATGTCAAGAGTTCTGTTTTAAAGTATGCAGTTAAGAATTAAACCAGGTAGCCTACTTCCTGTGCTTAATTACCTTCTTTTTTTTAAATGGGGCAACATCATCTAATGCCACATGTAAAAAAAATAACATTATGAATTAGACCATCAATTTTTGAAGGGCTGGAAATGAAAATATTGCCCTCTGCTACATTCCTCTGAGATACTGAAGACGGTAAAGATGGAACGGTTGATTCAAAAGATGCAACAGCGTTGTCAGATAGAGACAGACTATAATGAAATTTACTTTTATGTCTCGAGAACTCGGTTATAATAAACTCAAAGGTTATCAGAAAGTGGTCAGACAGGACTGGATTGTGTGGGAATATTGCCATTTCCTTACACTATGTCACAGGTCAGCACAAGGTCCAATGTATGATGGCAGGAGTGGGTGGAGCTATGTATTCTTTGAGTAAAACCAATTGAGTCTGAGATATTACTAAAGGCTACATTGAGTTTATTACTTTCAGTGTCCACATGAATGGTAAAATCCCCAACCAAAATTACTTTATCAGTATTGAGCACCAGATCTGATCCAAAACTCAAGAGTAAGGGCCTGGTGGATGATACAAAACTACAAACAAGAATGGTTTTATGGATTCTGTGAGAAAGATAGAAGATCTGATTATCACAAATCTGGGGTCTCATTTATCAAACATTGTGTAGAATCCTTACTAAAACCATACTTAAGCTCAGCAAAAAAAATGTACTCATGTAGGTTTGTGATCTATCAAACATGGAGTACACACAGCTGCACGCAATCCCCGCTTCATAAATCAGAAACTATCTAGAGATTTTCTCAGCTGCTTTTTAGTCACATCCCGCCCTCACCACGCCCACTTACTGCCATAAACAGTCAATGCTAAGTGCCTTGTGGATCTCATGCATATACATAAGTTGGCTTGTTGCAGCGCTCCGCCAATGGCGACCACAGATCAAGGCAGATCAAGGAAACAGAACTTGATTCATTCTCCAACATTTCAGAAATGAACCACTGGGTTCAAATAAAATAAATTAAGTCAAACATTTCATTTGGTGCTATTTCTGACACCCTTGAACTGTGGCATAAATATTTGACTCTAGATCTGCTCAGAGACATTAAACACTCATAAGAACCCATTATGTATTATATTATTACAATATGTGTCCTGTAGGTTTTCAGTATTTTTTTTTAGATTTTGTGAGTTTTTGCAAAGCGTGTTTTTCTCAGCCTGAGGCGTGGTGTTGAACGAGGAAACAGATGTTTTACTTTGTTAAATCTTCTTAAATGTTTAAATGTTTTGTCCCAACCTGTTGTGAATGGAGAGATTTTGAGGGATGGCAGGTTGTGTCAATTACATTTTTGATTTAAAAAAAAATAATAATAAATAAATAACAATGATCTGACATCTTCTATTTATCGATGAAAACAAATCAATATGAAATAATCATGATGCATCGGGATATCGAATCGAAGACCCAATAATCGTAATCGAAAGACAAGTGAAGGTTCACACCTCTACTTAAAGTTGCGCACATTTTTCCGCTAAGTTTTCTTTCATAAATCCCAAAGTTTGCGTGGAAAGTTGCTTGTACAGTTTTCCGACCCCATTTTGTGCGTAAGCAAGCTTGATAAATGAGGCCCCAGGTCATTAACTAACAAAGTCTTTGAAAAAAAATAGACCTAATGTTCAATAAACCACATTTAATTGTTTTAGTTTTCAGCTCAGTCAAATTTGTTCCAATTTTTATGAAATGTCCACGATTTACTCTATTAAGCCTGATTGTTAATCTGTTTCAGTTTGGACATGGACAGTTTGGACTGTCTCAATGGGGTAGTGGGTGGTTAACAGTACAGAGGGGTGTGTTAAACTATGAATCTGCTTCCTGGTCTGGATCCTGGGTCGTCATGGAGGACTAATAAAATTGGCCATGTTCCTAGAAAGAAGAGCTGCTCCATCCAAAGAGGGATGAATGCCGTCTCTTCACAGCAGACCAGGTTTTCCCGAAAAAGTTTTCTGATTACCAATGTAGCCAACGGTATTATTCAGGACACCACCTAGACAGCCAGCGGTTAAAGGACAGCATGTGGCTAAACATGTCGTCACTGGTCCAATCAGGAAGGGGGCTAGAGACTGTTTTGGCAAACTTACACACCGAAGCAACATTAATCTAATAATATTCCGCTGTATTCTGATGCAAGACTAAAGTCCCACACTCATTACATTTATGAACAAGAAGTAGAGAGAGAGTGGGATGCCAGCTGAAATGTCCGTCAGACTTGGAACTTGCAGCAGCGGACTGTCTGGCATCACATACCAAGCGCTGCTTGCAGTTGCGTGCGTATAAGCGCATTCTGGAGCTCACGGTTTTCAAAAACACTCTAGTTTCCTTGCATTGCACTTAATATTTACACTGATATCCATTTATTTTACTATAAAAAATTGTAGGAATCAGACGCAAGCAGGAAGTGTCATGGCTGACTGACCTATTGCTAGTCTTGGTTCAGTTTGCTGCGCCATGTTCTGCCAGGCTCAGCGCTTTTAAGTGAGGCTTATTGTGTTCCAAGAATGAAATAACTGAGAATAAACTGCTCTCACGCTTCATGTTTAAGCACATTTGTTTGGTCATGTTACAAGCTAATTTCTTATTCTGTGGTTACCCAATAAACATTTTGATAACGGTGCTGCTGTGTCCTCTAGTGAGGACAGTAACAGTCAGCCTTACCAACTCCACCACACAGCAGAACTCCTCCAGGCTAGTGTTATTTGTGGAGATGAAACATCAACGTTGCAAGTCAGTAGTGGAGTTGTGTTGCTGTTATCCAGTATGAGGAGAGACGTCCAAAATTTACTGTCTTTTGCTTTTAGCACTCCCTAGTGCCGTTTGTAGAAGCAAAAACAAAACTTAACTTCTCGCTGTGTGTTCATCTTTTTAACACCTTAATCTAACAGGTGAAATGTCTTCCAGCGTTCCCAAGTGTGTAGAGGAGTGATTGATCACTAAATTAAGCAAATCGGCTGTTTTCATGATCTAAAACATGCAGGAAATGTTCTGGAAGCAGACTGCAGTGCCAGGTAAGTGAGCTCAAGATTTTTTTTAAGTCCCAGCAGATCGTACTAGCAACTGTGCAAGCGTGATATTCTGGCCACAGGGGGCGAATGAGGCTGGTTGGCCTTTCATTAACCCTGTAAAGCAGTGGTTCTCAATAAGCGGCCCGCGGGCCTCCTCTTTGTGGCCCCCGAACCTGTGCGCTATTAAATTATTAGTCGACTATTTTGTTTGTCGGTGTCGTCGTGACGAGTCGACAAACCTAGATGAGATAAAAACATACAAGACAAAAATAAGATAAAACATTAATTTACTGCCATTGACAACAAACGTGGACAATTGCATTTTTTGACGAGGCGGGTGTCGGAACGAGCCCTTGGACCGTGAGTTAACAGCATGGCTCTAAAGCTGATCTTCATCCATGTATGTCACACGTCACGTGATCAGGAAGCAGAAAATCCATGAATTAGGAGATCGTTTTGGGCCGCTGCTGTGAAAAAAAAAAATCGAGGCACAAACCGTAAAAGCTTCTGTTGCACACAATTCGATAACGCTAGAAATGCGCCGATTCTAACCGATGTAAGAAGTGAGTACTCTTTCATTTGTTAGTTTTGATGTTTAAATGATCATAGAGCACAATGTGAAGTAAGTGTGACGTGAACTCCGACGGAGTAAAATCCAAGCCGATCCCGTTCATTTTGTTTACCTTTGTTGCCTGCCAACATGGCGTCTACTCTCTGAGAGTCACGTGACGTCCGGAGCTCTATAGGTCAACCAGAAAAATGTCGATAGGGTGCATGTCGGGGTGTCTAACACTGTAGAGGTCTTTAAAAATAATCTAAAAACTCACCTTTTCATCCAGGCGTCCCCTCCCTAAATGTTTCAAAAAGATGGCTTTGTTTGGGTTCACACCTTCACTTTGTTTATACTCATGATTTTATTTTCTACGTTTATCACTGCTATTGTTTTTCTGATGTTTTTATTGGTTAGAGGTATTTGCCCTGATCTTTATCATGTTGTACAGCGCTTTGTGATTTATATCTGAGAAAGGCGCTCTAAAAATTAACTTTTACTTACTTACCTACCGTAGCGGAGCAGAACTTACTTTATTTTATAATTTGGTTTTCTAACATATATGTAAACTAGGATAAAAACCCCCAGTTTATTGCCCCAGATCGACTTAGATGTGCATGTAAACGCATGGAGTGACCAGTCTCTATCTTACATTGTAGATGTCCGTTTCTGTAGATCTGTAGGGCAGGCCCCTCATGTGAACACAGTGGCCTGTTGTACTCTGGAAGGATGAACCGCCATCATTGTACCGCCCATCTGATACGCCTGCATGTAGATTTGCATATAGATTAACACAATGTCATACTGGAACGTTGAATCATAATCCCAGTTGTTTTCTGCTTCACTAATATGAAAACACATTTACAAAGTCACATTTAGCCTCTTCTTTTTCCAACATGCACTGACCTCCTGCGTAGCCCCCTCGGCGCATTCTGTCATAAGATCCTCCTCTCCCCATCATGTTATAACCTCGACCACCGGAGGGCCTGTCATAGGGGCCGGGTCGCTGCATGCCCATAGGCTTTCGCTGGGGCTCGTAATGGGTCCGCACCTCAGCGCGGCTACTCTTGAAGATTTCAATGTACCTGGGAGCATAAAAGAAAAACTGTTAGGTCTTGTACATAAATGAAAGCTACATTTGTTTAAAACTGGGCTATGAAGATGCTTTATGTTACAGACCATTGGTGGTAATATCTTTGAGTACCTAATGCTTCTTAATAACACTGATTCAAAATCAATATATACTGAATTTAGAATATAAGAAATTGCCAGAATGAACAACAACCTTATTAACTTTGAACTTTTCTTATGGTTATCTGAGGTGAATTAGCAAACTCTTACATATTACTGTAATGAAGTTTTTTGTCTTCACCATGACAGACTGTTTTCTGGATTTACAGCGTCAGAGAGAACTACAGCCCTAGTGTGACCCATCTGTGGCAGTGGGTCTGATCCTTGTGTTCAATGGCCCTCTGATTTTACCACCAGGGAGACTTCCTTACCATTCATGAACCTGGACTTACTTTAGTTCTGAGACACCGTTTGATCTCGATATTCGTTTTAACCTTCAATCAAGGATTGAAACTTATTGTGAGTGGTGCCAAAGAACAAATTTTCCCACTGAACATAGTGAACGTGAGAGCGTAGAATTTATTAGAACAGCTGGTGTATGTGTGTGGTAAGTAGTACTGATATGATTAATCCAACATCAAGTTTTGCATTTAGTTCAGATGTTTAATGTGCAGACCATAAGAAAAGCAACTTATCCAGCCAACCAACCAACCATCCCCACCTGTGCCCTATTCTTTCCTTGTGTTTCTTTAGAGCCTTTTCAGCTATATCCTGTGAAGCAAACTGCACGAAGGCCTCCCCCGTACTCCTCCCCTGGATGTCCACCGGCAATGTTATCCCATTTGGCACGATTTCCAACCCTTCAACCCAAGGACAGATAACCCCAGCAGGGGACATATTAAATCACATGCCCAATCACAGAGAGAACTTTCTCTAAAGAGAGATAGAAAATTTCACATCACACAAATACCAGTTCCGTTTTTAACTGGCGGATTTAATCAGAGTCACATTTACTGTATTCTTGGGATTTAGTAGAAAGGACAGCAAAGAGTAAGCATATGGAAAGGGAGACTGTGTGAGACACCAGGATAGTATTGGTGTATTGATGAAGAGAGAACAAGATCTTGGTGGTTGACATGAATAACAGTACTGGGCTCCCATTAGAAACTATTTTAGGATTTGGCAAAATGTGAGGAACTGTGAAACAAAATGAAACTATGAGGGAGGCTACATCGACAATGTGATGGGGTGGGGGTGGGGTGGGGGGTTCAGGCATTTTTCATTAAAAAAATAATAACTTTAGCAACAATGTTATCTAATCAGACCCAGTGTAATAAAAAAATATAACGAATGTGGACTCGGGATGAAAAGGGTATTTACAAACACACTTATCCAGTCCAACCGCCTTTCTTTTCTCTGGTCAAACAAGATTTATAGTCCACTTTCTTACAGTGCTCAGCATAAAGGAGTACACCCCACTCCATTTGTCAGAAAACCTTTAGTTTCCTTTCAGAATCAACATTTTCTATCAGATACCATAAGACAAAATACTCCCACAAATGTGGGCTGTTGATTGCAAACAAGATTTGTTCATTTGCACACACAAAAAAAGTGATTTTCTTAACAAATCATACCAAATCCAAACCCATGGTGAAAAAACGAAAACACCCAATTATAGTCATAGGAGAAAACCACACTGTAAGATTTGATTTAGCATGCATTCAACCACAGGTGAGTCTACTGATTCATTTAAGAGATGTCCAGCAGACAGGTGACTATAAAAGGGCATTACTTAGAGAAAAGCCCTTCCCATTTCATGCTGTCAGCAATGGCTCCACATGGAAGAGAAATGTCACAAAATTTGTTACACAACAAAGGTGAGGGCTGCAAGATCAGGACAGCTTTACATATCAGTCAAACTACTGTAGCAAAAGTCATCCAAAAATTTAAGAAAGATGGAAGTGCAGCCATCTTACAGAGACGTCCAGGCCATCCACTGAAGTCAACATCTGGACAGGAGCGTCTTCTGATGAGGAGGGCTGAAGAAAATCACCCTGCAAGTTCACTGCAGTTAGCTAAATCAGTAGAAAGCCAAACTGGAGTGACCGTTTCCTGTGTCACCATACGGCGCACACCACAGGGGAATGGCATGTATGGGTATCATCCACGAAAGAAGCATGTCCTGCAGCCCATGCACAAAAAAGCACACCAAGGATTTGCTCGGGCCCATGCTGAAAGAGATGAAGACTTCTGGGACTCTATACTCTGGAGTGATGAGACAAAGATCACGGTTTTTGGAACTAATGGTTTCAAAACTGTATGGCATCATAAAGATGAGGATCTTAAAGAGAAATGCATGGTGCCTACAGTGTAACACGGTGGTGGTAGTGTATTTATGTGGGCTGCATGAGTGCTGCTGGTGTTGGGGAGCTGCATTTCATTGACAGTATCATGAACTCAACAATGTACTGCTCTATACTGAAGGAGAAGTTGATGCCATCACTTTGTGCACTTGGTCGTCGTGCACTTTTCCAACATGACAATGATCCAAAACACACATCTGAAGCTGCTGCTGCATATCTGAAGAACAGGGAGATGGTGACTGAATGACCAAATATTTCTCCTGATCTGAACCCAGTCCAACACCTGTGGGGAATTCTGCAGCAGCAAGTTGAGCACCACTCTCCGTCCAGCATCCAGGCTCTAGAAGAGGTTCTTCTTGTAGAATGGAAAAAGATAGATGTTGCAATATGTCGCCAACTTGTTCATTCCACGCCTAGGAGACTTGGTGCTGTCCTTGAAAATCACGGTGGTCATACAAAATACTAGATGTAGCAGTTTTTGTTGTGGGGTGTATTTATTTTGGCTTCAACCAGTTTTAGTGAAACTGAAGATTTTGTGATCTAAGTTATATTATTAAGCTTAATTTAATTTTATAGAGTTAAACAAGTGTTCAATAAAACCCAGCCTTGTGAAAATTCTGGAAATTGTTCTTTTGATCATTAAACTACTGATTCAATTCGTACTTTGAAAGAGGTGTACTCGTTTATGCTGAGCACTGTATGTCACAATGCTATAGAATCATCCTGAATGTCACAGTTGTCTCTGTTCAGTAAAATCAACAACTAGACAGTGTTAGAACGAAGGAAACAAGAAAGAGGTTAAAAAAAAAACTAATGGGATTTACAATAAATCAATGACTGAAAACCTTTTACCTGAGAAAAACTGCACTATCTCCTCCTTGCTGCAGCCAAACGGAAGGCCCCGGAGCCGTACAAGCCCGTCTCCTGCTGTCTCTGGGCAGTTCGGGCCAGTATGCTTCATGACCCAGTCCATCTCAACATTGTTGGATTTGAACACTAAATTACCCAAAACAAACCACTTAGTTAATACAAAGTAAAGAAGTTACAACTTGACAACATGGCTTCAAATCAAAATCACTGTATTTTGAGTAGTTGAGTAGACAGGGTGTGGCAGCATAACTGATCCATAGCTAGTTTTATTGATAGTTAAATTCCTCCAAATTTGTTGGTCATTGCTATTATTTTTAATTTCCACTAAAAAGGTCAAGCTGAGTACTAAGAACTTGTTAAGATTGATTGAAAAATCAAGCACAACAGAACAAGTAGACAAGTAAACTAAAGTATTTAAGATACAATTTCTTATAATCTAAATCTAGACATTACAAAAAGCTGCTGCATCATGTGAATATGTGTGTTTGTAAAAATTTGAAGTGCCTCATGGCTCATCTTGAGGCGCTATTAAAAAAAAGTTTTCTTTCATTCTTTTCTAATATTGTCAAACTTGAGTTGTCAGGTATAAAGTGTGGTTGTACTGAAGGTGACTTGTTGCTAGAGCCTCTGATTGGTATATTCAGTCAGAGGGGGCTTTCCGCACGAATGATTCATTATCATTCTGGATACTGAAGGTGACTTGTTGCTAGAGTCATACTGTGGGGTAAATCAACGGGTGGACCAACGCCACTTACCCCTTCTTTCCACGGGAGCCGGCAGCAGCACGTTACTGCAGCAGCACGTCTTGCTCGCGTAAGCTGCTGCTTGGCCCTTCCCACGAGACGCGAAGCAGCAGGGGAGCAGCTGTCACCGACCGAGCACGAAGTCACACGAGTGACTTCGTCAGTAAACACAACAACAAGCAGGAGAAAACTACAACATGGCTCCAAAAGGTTTGTGTTTTATGTTCTGTCTGTTTTATAATCGCCAATACGGACCTGAAAAACAAAGGAGACCGCTAGCTAGGTGATAACTTCTCACGGGGCCGCACAGTTAGTACCTTTTTTTAGAAGTAAAGCAACCGGAAGGCAGTACGTTTCTTTATTCTGAAAATCTCGGGAGCTTCTCTCCATTTCCGCGTCCGATTTCCTGTCTTTCCTTCCCCAAAAATGTCGAACTTGACCCATTTCAGAGGCGTCGCGCGTAGAAAATAGAACCGGCGCGTAAAGGCCGCGACATGCTGCTCCTGAGACGCGGCCGACTCGCGCTGCTGACGGGTGCCGACGGCTCCAGTGGAAAAGGTTCTGTTGACCACAGCGGTTCCTATCAGCAGCTATGACGTGCTGCTGCAGTAACGTGCTGCTGACGGCTCCCGTGGAAAGCCGGGGTTTGCCTGGACCAGGCCGACCCAGATGTGAAATGCTAATGGACTGTACTGGTCTGTGCCACAGCTTCGTAAAGGGACAAGACCACCACTAACCTACTCACTTCTTCTCATTTTATGAAATATGGACATACAGACATGGGCAAAATGATGTAGGTAAGAGTTATTAATTATGGTAATGGTAAACTTTCGGTTTACCACACAGCCCTAGCAGAAGTGATAAAAGGAAGAGCTTGACAGCTACCAACCTTCCACATATCGGTGACCCATAGTTTCTCTGTCCTTCTTCACAGCAATTTTCAGATCATCTTCTGTCTCCAGTTCCACAAATGCTTCTCCGCTGGGACGCCCCTCTCTTGTGTAGGTGAAGTGAATTCCATTGCCCTTGTTAAGAATTTCACAACCTGTAAAAAGTTTCGTAATTATATTAAGTCCATCCTGCTCAAATATCTGTACTATAACTATTACCTGTTTAATAACTAAATAGAAAGAAATCCATCAAGTGGATGAGTTTAAATATCAGGGTGTTGTTTTGGATTTGCATCTTAAATTTGAGTCCCGCTTCAGAACCATTAGGATCAACCTCAAATCTGATAAGGCCAAATGTACCTGTAAAAGCTGCCCAGCTGTACCTGCATGCCAAGATTCTGTCTCACCTCTCACTTGTGAAATGATTTGGAGCCAAGCAAACCAGTCTGCTTTAAAACCTGTCATGTGTATGTACTAACAAGCCCCAAAAGTCCTGGACCAAAAACTAGGGCTGGGGGTAAACGATTATTTTTAAAACGATTATTCTGACGATTATTTTATCGAATAGTCGACTATTCTAATGACTATTTAGAAAATTAATCTAATGATTATTTTTCTATTGCACAATTAACAAAAACCAGAAAATCTCAAATTCCTCAAAAAAATTGATAAATTCTTACTGTAAGAGAATAAACACTACAGGCCTTCCATTTTGTATAACACTGCTTTTATTGTGTTGGTTGGTTATGTTCTGGTGACGTGTAGAACTTGGGAGTGCAGGCTGCTGCCTGAGAGGTGGTAGAAGATGGAGTGTCTCCATGCTGCTTTGTTTTGGTCACTCATGTGCGTGAGGCGAGTGGTCTTACGGGTTAAACCAAACTCAGGTGATATTTTACACTAAACCGACAACACTCTAAATGTAATAAAAGGGAGATCTACACCACAAAAAAGATGAACTCTAAACCAAAACGTAACAGCTTATCCCAACGCAAGAAGCTGTTAGCGAAGATGCTAACAGTAGCTTTACCAACATTAAGTTCAAGTTACCAAGTTTAAATAAACCAAAAACACCCAGCAGCAAACAGACCAGCATGGAGGAGAGACTGCTACCACCAAAACAGCTCTCCTCATGTCTGAAAGAAGCTCCTTTATGAAGGGAGAAGCGCTCCTGGTGATTTTCTACATCTACGATAGACACGAAGCAGCGCATCTGACCCCGGAAGTTGTTGTCCGTTGCCGGGAGACGAAGGGGCAAAACAGGAAAATAATCTAGTAGTGGACGGACGTTGTTCCGGGTCTTCGGTATTTGGCGGAGATGTTAGTGAAGGCGGAGAAGAGGGCGAACTAGAGGAAAAACAGGCAGATTCCTCCTCTATTTACAAACTCCTGGGGATGCAACAAGTGGGCGCGGTGCATTGACTTCCGGATCTGACGTCGACAAATTTTTAGAATCGAGCCGTCGACTTCGTCGAGGCTTCGCTACAGCCCTACCAAAAACCAATGAAGTGGCACCACAAAGGAGTAGCCAATGGAGACTGCAAACCACCAAAATATAAAACATTTGGTCAATCCTCGTTCAGTGTTTCCCCTACACAGGCTCAGGGGGTAGACCAATTTATCGGTTGGCCAATTAATCAGGTCGATTTTAGAGCTGAGGAAAATAAATAACTGATGCATCGGGATGCGGACATAAACGATTCTGCATCGTAGAAGAGTACGCCATAATTGATTATAGTGGAATGTAGTTTTGTTTTTTCAACGGTGGCACCAGCGCAGCATTCAAATCTGTCAGAGTGAGTGTCTTCCACATTTACCAAGTATTGTACCACCTTAATGTGGTACTGCAGGGCTGAGCGCTGGAGTAGAAACCTGAGACCGAACCGGAACCGAATCAGCCTGACCGGTTCTGTTGGATTTGGGCCGTGAATTATGTTAATTGAGCGGGTTGTCACGCGGCGCGCTCCACTCGCTCGCACAGCAACTGAGTGTGAGAGAGAGATAGAGACATTAGGTGTTTCTCAATGTCAAGGCGCCTTGCCTTGCGAGGCCAGGTGCCTTGCTTACAAGGACACTGTCCTTCCTTGGTCAAAGAAAACGGTTAAATGCAACAGACTTGCATCACATGACTGCAGCTTCCACGGCGGTCAAGTAACGTCACGTGACACGGGAGATAACATTATACTTTATATGTATTAGTTTCAATATAAATATATAACGAGTCTTTTACTTTTTAAATTGTGTACATGTTTATTAAATTAAAAATATAAGCGAGTTACTACCCGCTAGTCACCGAAGCTGCAACTACTAAGCAGCTAACCAACAATACATAACTTCTTTGGATCTAAAAAAAAAAAAATAAAAATTTTAAATTAGTTGACTTACTTTTAAACTTGAAATTTGTCCCCGAAGTAGCTGCCAGCTTCTGATCCACCGACTTTTGAAAATACCGTGGTGTATTGTGGGTAATTTTTTACCAAGGCTAGGCTACAAGACACCTCCCGTGTATCCTTGCTCAGCTAGCTAAACAGCTAACAAAAGGAGAACACATGCCTCGGTAGAACATGAACATTGGAAGCGATTGGAACATGTCTTGGCGGCTCCTGATGACGTATCTCCTAGGCAACCGGGGCGGGGCCAAGACATCAAGGCAAGGTTCCTTGACATTGAGAAACACCCGAGCGCTCAGCCCTGCAGTACCACATTAAGGTGGAACAATACTTGGTAAATGTGGAGGACACTCACTCTGACAGATTTGGATGCTGCGCTGGTGCCGCCGTTAAAAAAAATCAAAACTACATTCCACTATAATCGATTATGGCGTACTCTTCTACGATGCAGGATCGTTTGTCTGCATGCCGATGCATCAATGATTTGATTATTTTCCTCAGCTCTAGAGTTTTGGGTGACCAATTTTGTTAGACTGATATCTCAATGTATCACGATTATTTCATATGGATTTGTTTTCGTCGATAAATAGTTGATGTCAGATATTTGCTTTATTTATACTTTTTAATCAAAAATGTGTCTAAAACACGCTGTACCCCAAAAGCTCTTCAGTCACAACAGTCCTTGGGACAATGTAAAAGGGCAATACATTTTACACATTTAGGAAGATTTAACAAAGTAAATAAATCTGTTTCCTTATTCAACCTCTGGCTGTGTAAAAAACATGCTCTGCACATGCAAACCAGATATTAAAAAATACTGAAAACCTATACGACAGGCTTAATTCTTGCCTTTGTTTTAGGTTATAAAATCCATAATGGGTCTCCTTCACTAACCAGCTAACTACAACCTTTCCACTAACCTACCCTGTGAGACTTTTATCATCTCCTTATGTCCATGGTGTCTCTGGAGGAACTTAAAATGTACCAAAACTTCCTCCCAGTTTTTCTTTAAGTTGAATTAAACATAATTTTATTGTCATAAAACAAAATAAAGTGTAACAAGAACTTCTATTCTCTATTTCTCTTCGATTGTTCTCTCGTTCAGAGGAATCTCTCCTGTATCCTCCTCCATTTTCCTAAATAAAAGAGACAGATCCTGCAGCCGCTGTCGCTCACCCCCAACAGCGGATATCCCAACGTCACAACATTCGGTCTGAGCTTCACTGAACCTGAGTTTTTAAGCGCTTCTTAAAACACAGAGAAATAAGTACACTTGTATAAGTCTACACATCTGTCCTCCATTCCTCTGTGTACATCTCTCTCCCCTTATCACCATGTGAAGTGCGATTGAACCTGTTCAATTGAGATGAATCACCAGCCTATATACATATCCTTCTCAAAAACTTAGCATATTGTGATAAAGTTCATTATTGTCTGTAATGTACTGATAAACATTAGATGTTCATATATATTAGATTCATTACACACGACTGAAGTAGTTCAAGCCTTTTATTGCTTCTAATATTGATGATTTTGGCATACGGCTTATGAAAACCCAAAATTCCCATCTCAAAAAAATAGCATATCATGGAAAGGTTCACTAAACGACCTATTAACCTAATCATCTGAATCAAGTAATTAGCTCTAAACACCTGCAAAAGATTTGTGAGGCTTTTAAAAACTCCCAGCCTGGTTCATTACTCAAAACCGCAATCACGGGTAAGACTGCCGAGCTGACTGCTGTCCAGAAGGCCATCATTGACACCCTCAAGCAAGAGGGTAAGACACAGAAAGAAATGTCTGAATGAATAGGCTGTTCCCAGAGGGCTGTATCAAGGCACCTCAGTGGGAAGTCTGTGGGAAGGAAAAAGTGCGGCAGAAAAAGCTGCACAACGAGAAGAGGTGACCGGACCCTGAGGAAGATTGTGGAGAAGGACCGATTCCAGACCATGGACCTGTGGAAGCAGTGGACTGAGTCTGGAGTAGAAACACCCAGAGCCATCATATACAGGTGTGTGCAGGAAATGGGCTACAGGTGCCGCATTCCCCAGGTCAAGCCACTTTTGAACCAGAAACAGCGGCAGAAGCGTCTGACCTGGGCTTCAGAGAAGCAGCACTGGACTGTTGCTCAGTGGTCCAAAGTACTTTTTTCGGATGAAAGCAAATTTTGCATGTCATTCAGAAATCAAGGTGCCAGAGTCTGGAGGAAGACTGGGCAGAGGGAAATGCCAAAATCCCTGAAGTCCAGTGTCAAGTACCCACAGTCAGTGATGGTCTGGGGTGCCATGTCAGCTGCTGGTGATGGTCCACCGCGTTTTATCAAGGGCAGGGTCAATGCAGCTAGCTATCAGGAGATTTTGGAGCACTTCATGCTTCCATCTGCTGAAAAGCTTTATGGAGATGAGATCTCATTTTTCAGTATGACCTGGCACCTGCTCACAGTGCCAAAACCACTGGTAAATGGTTTACTGACCTTGGTATTACTGTGCTCAATTGGCCTGCCAACTCTCCTGACCTGAACCCCATAGAGATTCTGTGGGATATTGTGAAGAGAAAGTTGAGAGACGCAAGACCCAACACTCTGGATGAGCTTAAGGCTGCTATCGAAGCATCCTGGGCCTCCATGCCACGCCGCATTGAAGCAGTCATTTCTGCAAAAGGATTCCCGATCAAGCATTGAGTGAATAACTGAACATAATTATTTGAAGGTTGACTTTTTTGTATTAAAAACACTTTTCTTTTATTGGTCGGATGAAATATGCTAATTTTTTTAGATAGGAATTTTGGGTTTTCATGAGCTGTATGCCAAAATGGACCTGTACAACTCAACCAGTCTGGTTTACTTGATTTGGGTTCAGTCTCAGGTTACAACTCCAGCTCTCAGCCCTGCAACACCACATAATGGCACAGAATGTGCATTTTGCATGATAAAGAAATTTTAAGCCTGTTATTTTTGAACACTTGTTCTTTTTCTAATTACAGGGTAAAACATTTTGTTGACAAAAAAATCATGGACACATAATGCAGCTTGTTCTTTGACTTGTAATTAAAAAAGCCCTTTTAATCAGCTACCTAGTTCTGGCAAATGGGGGAAAACTGAAAGACAGACATACAAACCTGAGAAAAACCTCTGTACTTCATCTACTGAACAGGACCATGGTAGACCCCGGATTCTCACAACATATCCCTCATCAGCCATGACTAGTCACAGTCCCTGTTGGGGGGGAACAAAATCATTTTCAATGAGTCATTTCTACTTAACTGTGAGCAGTAGTGAGTAGAGGTGTGAATCTTCACTAGTCTCATGATTCAATTCAATTACAATCATCATGTCAACGATTCAATATCCGCTTGATGCATCACGATTATTTCCTGTTTTTTATCAATGAATAGACGATGTTAGATACTTGCTTTTTATATATATCAAAAAAGTGTTGGACACAACATGCTATCCCCTAAAACAGGGGTACTCAAATATAAGAGGCCAAGAGCCACATTAAAAAATGGAAGTTTGAGGGTCACGTCTTAGGCCTAGTCCACACGTAGCCGGGTTTTTTAAAAACGAATATCCGCCCCTCCAAAAACTTGCATCCACACCACCGCGTTTTAAAAAATAACTCTGTCCACACGTACCCGGATAAATACGTTGTTAAGGACATGCCAGACCTGTAGGCGGCAGTACTTCCCCCGTTCTTAACCTCGTCCTTCGTCTGTGGTCTTCCGCAAGGAGCAGTAATTCCTCTTGCAAAAACAAACAAGCAAAAAGCGCTTGGACAATTGATGGATCGGGTAGTGACAGAGCGCAGCTCTGAGGGCATCCATGCTGTCGGCTAGTGTAAACACAGGTCGCACACGTGATGTCAGCATTTTTTTGTCGCGGAAAGTGACGTTGCGGACCTTAAAACTCCGGTTTTGTCTGTCCACACGCAGACACCCAAAACGGAGAAAACGCAGATCTTCACTTTGGCCGGAGTTTTTAAAAAGATCCGTTTTCGTGTGAAAAAACTCCGTTTTCGTGTGGATGACAGGCCAAAACGTAGAAAAATAGCTACGTTTTGGCAGATCCCCGGCTACGTGTGGACAGGGCCTTACATTATCTCTTTGAATTCAACTAGAACAAGCAAAACAGCAAAGCTGTAATACTGTTTAGTTCCTCTCCAGTTACCACAGCTTAACTCAGGCTCTTTGGACCTTCTACAGTGGCTCTGAATAATTTTAGCTAAAATTATTTTAAAGAATCAACTCATTTTATAAATAGACAGGCCAACCATAAAAGAATGAAGGTTTATGCAGCTTTTTTAAGTTTTTGTTGAATATTTGCGCTGACTTTCCACAACCGAATGATTGTAAAAGTACCAGTAACATTTTTAGATCTACTTATGTTTCTTTTCCACTAATATCAACATCTCACTGAAAACATATCCATACTTTTCTGCAATTTTTTTTTATTCTTAATTTTAAATCTCTTAAATAATATATGTAGGGAAGATGTGCTTATAAGGATTTAACTTGTATGTATCTGAAACAAAAACTGCACCAACTGTCAGAATCTTCTTTGGGTTTCAGAATGGACCTGTCTAATTACTGGGAAACTTGAACACTTGAACTCAACTCCCAAAATAACAAAAACACAAGCCTTGGGAAACCTCAGTAAGAGTTGAAATTGTAAGGACACAAACCTGCTGACGTTCTTGACAGAACTGTGGAATTTGGAGGCGATTTTCTTCCATTTTACAAATGTTAAGCTTAGGGCTGCAACTAACGAATATTTTCATAATCGATTAATCTGTCAATTATTTTTTCGATTAATCGGTTTGTTATTGTTTAGCTATTTAACCTATACAAGTGATGAATATATTTCAGTTAAGAAAAAGAAAAACATAAGAGAATTGTGCAGTTGACTGTAATCTATTTTATTGCACATGAACACAGTCAGCGGTGTAAAATGAGCTAAACAGTGCAAAATATCAGTCCAGAATAATTTTTTGGCATAAAAATATAAGAGGTAAATTCCATAAAAAATAATGTAGAATCTAGAATAGAGTTTGTAAGTGGTATGCATTGCTGCATAAACTAATATTTTGTGTAACAACACTTTGAGAAGACCACTGCAGCCAAAAGATTTCTGAGACTCTGATTTCTGCATCTGTTGACAAGAGTTTTGACCCTCAGCTCATTCGAAAAGTATTGTAATTTTTTGGGACTGTTTTGCTTAAATTATTTTTTCCAACCACGATTCAAAAGCGGTTTTATTTCAAGGCTCAAGAACTTACTTTCTGCAAGCAATCACTAAACTGAATGCACACATGTAGGGCTGAAACGAATCATCGAGTAATTCGAATGGTTCAATTCATTAAATTCCTCGATTAATTTTTTACTGATTTAGCTATATAAACTTTAGTTTGAGAATCAATTAAACGCTAAGCTCGAAACGTTGAGTGTAGGGCAGTTCAGTTAAAAGATCATTTAGTGTGTAACTGTCTTAAATTTAATAACGACGAAGTAGCAGTGCATTCTTGAGCCCATTGGCACTCTAGAACCAACTGGAACATATTAAATCATACATCTTCATTTAGCTTATTATCGGTGAAGCAAAATTTGCTCCTGTGTACATGCCAAACACATATGAAAATCGTATAGTTTTGAATTTCTCCATTGCGGCAAGGTTCCGCTTACCTAAAACAAAGCACGAAACCATAGCTGTTCCACGCTACCTAGACAAAATTTGGAGTCAACTAAATCATTCCACCTTTTCACTGGAGTGGCTGCGTTTCGGAGAATATAGAACATTTTGAAGAATTTTTTTGTAACAACAAATAATGGCTTTATTCGTTTAATTTTAACACTGCGAGTGGTTTCCCTGAACGATCAGCACCGCACCCGGACACAAGAACAAAAGCGGGCCTCTCAGCCTGCGCCATGTTCTTACTATTAGCGGTTAGCACTAACCAACGTTGCCAAATCAAATAAGAAACTAACACAGAAGAGCAGTTCGGCTATTTTATCAATCTAAGTATAGTAATCAAATATTTATGCAGTAAAAGAGAAAAACACACGTTTCAAGCATTTACCTGTTTAATCGTGGATGCAACACGCCGGAGCTTCTATGGCTGACCTGCGTGATATGCTGAAACCTCGCGGGTTGCCAGAAAACTCACGACATCCCCCTTTCGGGAACTTAAAAAAAGAGAGTTTAGTAATCTCAGCATATTCTTCCACACAGTGATCGAATTTGGGTATATTTATACCAATTATATATTAATAATTACGTTTAAAACCATGTTTACCTTTTCTTTAAAAAATACGTTACGCAGGATATTTTATCATTTACCCCAAATCAACTTTTTTTCTGATAAACCATATAAATGTGTGTCTAATTGTGCTGCAGACAGGTGTAGTGGATAGTTTTGCACTTTAGTGGATTTTAGTTAAAATTTTAATTTTCTGCCTAAAACTGTCAGTGTTCTGCCATTGTCAGTTGAAAACTGCACTGCATTTGAATAGCAAGTCGCCCCCAAATCAACTTTCTTTTTTTGATAAACTATATAAATGCTTGTCTAATTGTGCTGCAGACACGTGTAGTCAATAGTTTTGCATTTTAGTGCACTTTAGTTAAAATTTAAATTTTCTGCCTAAAACTGTCAGTGTTGCGCCGTTGTCAGGTAAAAACTCTGCACTGCATGTGAAAAACCTGCCATCGCTACTGGCTAAGAGGTGCACTAGAACATTAGCTGGTATCATATGATGTCACAATGTCGTTGTGAGCCTCTGTGTGTGTGTGTGTGTGTGTGTGTGTGTGTGTGTGTGTGTGTGTGCGTGCGTGCGTGCGTGCGTGTGTGTGTGCGTGCGTGTGTGTGTGTGTATTTGTTAGCGGCTCCGCCCTCTCTGTCTGCTAGGCAGCAACATTTGTTGCATTTTTCAAACAGGAAGTGAGTTTCTTGTAGGAGGTGACCCTCTACCAGATTCTTACTCAATTCCCACTTCATGTTTGAAAAATGCAACAAATGCTGTTGCCTAGCAGACAGAGAGGGCGGAACCGCTAACAAATACACACACACACAGGCTCACAACGGCATTGTGACATCATAATGTACTAACTAATGTCATAGTGTAGCTCTTAGCCAATAGCAGTGGCAGATTTAAATTCAGATGTGGTGCAGAGTTTTTACCTGACGATGGCGCAGCACTGACAGTTTTAAGCAGAATATTAAAATTTTAACTAAAGATGCACTAAAGTGCCAAATTATTGACTACACGTGTCTACGGCACGATTATATAGTTTATCAGAAAAATAAGTTTATTTGGGGGTGACTTGCGCTTTAAACTAAGTGTTTGTGTTTGTATTTGCAGCTGGCGTGCCTGAATAACCACAGACATTCACGTTCAAAATTGAAGACGTAGCTGCCCAAGGCCCTGGCCTGCTCTTCATTTCCTGGCCTATGTCAAAATAACCCCAAGTACAACGACCAGTTCAATTTAAAGATAACACATATTTGTCAGGCTACTTTTAAAAAGATATTTGATCCAAATTAAAACTGTAAAATACATTAAAAGAAACTAAATCTTACCCCTCATTTAGTTTTTGTGATGATTGTGTGTAATTCCTATCTCTTGATGTGTTCTTAAAGACACAGCGATAACTGGTTTAAAGTATGAAGGGTGAGAAGTGCAAGCATCACAGTCTTGGTTCAAGATGCTTTTGTTATTGTAGTCATTGACCAGGTCACAGTTTCTCTTCTTAAATAGTAAAACCCCAGTAAATATTTTTGACTTTCAGCAACTTAACATATTTACTAACTTGAATAAATATTTTAAAAAACTTTTTTTCCAAGATGTTTTGTAGCCAGCGACAAAAAACAAACTATAAATTGTCAGAATAAAAATCTTCACAGACGGAAGAAAAACTAGATCACTGAAAATTCCATAAAGTAATGTAGGACTTGTCCCTTCACTTATTGTCAGTATTTTGTGATTTCATTACAAATATTTAGGAGTTCTTGCATATCTTTGAAATATTTGATTTCTTTAGGGTAACTTTCTAGTTTCCCGAGTGCAGCCACCACTGCAGCTCCCCACTCCCCACAGGGATGGGTCTAGTGCAGAAAAACCCTAAGGGGAGCATATTTTGTACGATGTTGCATGTATTTTACAAAAGACAGTCTTTCAGTAATACTAATATTTACGAAAAAAGATAGTTGTTTGAGAATCCTTACTGAAGCTGAAGCAGATCAAATAAATTACTCTATGCCAATACTGCTGAGTCCGTCAGTGAAAATGTGTTGAATTTCAGTCCAAGTATTCTCATACTTTCTGATTATTATTGACAACTTCAGTGTTTATGTTTCATTTATGTTGACACACTTTTTTATGCACAATAGATTCGCTTCATTGTTTTTATCCACATTTATTCAATTTACACATTACACTAATGCAAGTCGTCACATTAAACACAATTAGATCAGTTTAACTTTTTATTTTATATTATGTAAAAACCACACTTGTAGAGTTACATCAGTTTCTAGAAGCACCCAATAACACTTCCAGAGTAATCCCTCTGTCTAAGAGATTCTCAAAATTGAATTTAAATCTACTAATAAAACTAGTAACCAGTTAAGTTGGCTTACTGTGTCAAGCCTTGACGTTCGTTCTACAGCCTCGTGATATTGGTAAACCTAACAAAACGTTGCGGTCTCAAGTTTGACGAACACGCGTTTTGACCAATCGAAAACTGAGTTATTTGTTGTTGAACCAATAGCATTAGTAGATTTCCCCACGATTGGGCGGTCCTTCTGAGAAACATACGTTAGGTTGTTAGAAAGTTAATGGCTGAGGGAAAGAGAACCTCCTCAACCCTCGCTTTGGGAGAGTTTCTGGATTCCCTGAAGTAAAAACCACGCAAATATCTTCTAAGAAAGCGCCTGGACGGACGTTTAAGCCATCAACTAACTCGAAAACACGCGTATAGTGAGCACAAGTATGCAGGATGCAGTAGCCGGGACGGCAATGCTGACGGACGGCTTCGAGGACGAGATTGACTCGGTGACTCCTCGCTCCCCGGTGGCAGGGATGGGGGTAGGAGCGACACCAGGAGGAGTCGGACTTGGAGGCATTGGGATTGGTGTTGGAGGGAAGAAAGTACGCTTGTACGGGGAGCCAGGTGGACCTACCGCAGAGAGACTGGATTTCAAACTAGCGGCCGCGGCCGTCCTCTCTTCGGGTCCGGGATCCGGCAGCGACGAAGACGAGGTTTCAGAGGTAGCAACGCTATAAGCTAGTTAGCTCAGCCTCAACCACCCACCCAGGCCGCAAAAATTGCGTAAAATTTCACAACACTGTGGTGAAATGGTATATACAGGTGCTTATGAACATTTAGATGACGTTAGTGTTTGGTGAGACTAGGCTATTTATTCTCACCAACCGGCCGAAATGTTTTATTTATGCAGCGCTGCCTGTGCCATGGCCTAGTTCGGGTGGTAACGATGACGGCCTCATTTGGTGCTGCTGTAGCATCGCAACACCCATCACAAGTTTACAGTCTTGATGCAGCCTTTCCGTGAAGCACACAATACAAGATGACTACTAATCAGCAGACGTTAATCAAAGGTTAAACACCTCACATTTCGCTTTTGCGTCGCAATTACGTCACTTTCCATCAGATCATGTAAATTAACTCAACGAACTTTGGGATCCGTTTAGACGATCGCTGTTTGGGAACAGAGGAACTCCGGTTTTTCACGCTCGGTTCCGGAAAAAAAAATTAGTATATATATTTTTTTAAATCTTGGTTTCGGTCGGTCATCCGGCTTCCACCAGCGTCAGCTCCATTAGTCATGTCTCATGGCGAGCAGCAGTTTGTGTTTATGTTATGAGATGTGCAACTTTTCACATACCAAAGGAAATCAGGTGCAATGGCATCTCCTCGTCTTGGCTAAAGGTCCACGGTTTATAAAAAAAAGCACAATATTGAAATACAGCCTCACCTTTCCGGATGTTTGATAAAATTAGTCAATAAGTGCGATTTGATTCTTTATTGTTGCATATCTAGTTTAATGTGAACACGATGTTTAAATATATTTTTCCTCACAACTACTGTTGTCATCTAGTTGGGATTATCGTATCAAATGGAAAAGTTGGCCCAGGAGTGGAAGTTATGAGGTGGTAAATATTTTAATCAAACCCATCAAATATATTAATGTTTACATGTTTACATTTGCATCAACTGCGTTTACTTAGAGGCACTACAATCAGATTATGTTGTGTGCAAATAATCAACACTGCTCACATCTGGACATTGTTCTCATCGAGTTGTTTCTGCTATGCTTGACACACATCTGACCCAAGCATTATCTGTCTGAAAACCTTAAGTCATTACAATCAAGGATGTTAGCTGAAACCTCTGTCAATATGATCTGGTTTTGTCTGAACAGCAGCTTTGTAACAACGGCTGAAGAAGAAAAAAGTATCACATTTGGTGTTCACACCTAGGGCAGAGAGTGGAATCTGATTGTAAACAGTCGTGCTTCATGTTTACTGAGGGGGGTGGGGGGTATTCCAGAAAACGAGTTTAGAACATTGGGGATCTCCTAAAAAATTCTCTCCTCCCGGCTTCATGAACGATTCTCTGGTGGATTCAATCCCCTATAATCCAAGCGAGGGTCTGCAATCAAGGCTCACGCATGTCCATAGGCAGCCCCAGTTAATCGATGGTGGATAAATGAGAATGGAAGTAGTGCTGCAGCTAGAGATGTCCCAACTCAAGTTTTTTCACATCTGATACGATACAGATATTGCAGCCATCAGTATCGACCAATACCAATGTCGATCCGATATGATATCAGCACATCATACATACTGTCACCTATTTCATTGTGTGGAATGTATAAAAGGCTTGATCAAATGATATTTCTCAAACAGAAAACCAAAACCAGCAACAGTAAGTATAAAAAAACTGACCAGTTTTTTAGTGATCTTTGGTTGCATAAATGTGAACAGCTGAAGTTAGGGACAAATGGAAAAAAAACGCAAAATTGTTCACTGATCAACTGCTACTAGTTGAGTGTCTAAAGTTTCAATTTCACACACTGAGAAAATCCTCATGCAATATTTTGTAATCCTGCTTCAAATGCACTTTGAGGTTGGACATATGAATCTTCCCCGGTTCTCTTCCACCCCGGGAAACTTGTGCATGACAACTGCTGCACTGAGCCAAACGGTCTTTTTCAGACTTTAACAAAAATACAGCCACATAGCCAACATTGTTCCTTGCTACATTGCTAGCACACACTGATCTGATCACATGGACTTTGCTTGCTGGATCTGGGCACAGCTGGATAGAATTGCTTGAATGGAATTTAAAGCGGAACATACTGCTAATATCGGAGGTTTTTGATGCAGCTCGATCCGATACAGTGTTTTTGGGCCAATATCTATATTTGAATGGGACGTCCCTAGCTGCAGCTATTGAATATTTTACTATTGAAGTATTCTATCGGATCGTCCATCAATTAATCGAGTATTCTGTTTGACGACATTTCAAGTGAAACAAGACTGTGGTCTGCTGCTAAAATTATTTAAAAAAAAAAGAAAACTACAAAATGATAAAGGGATCAACAATATGCATTAAATTGATGTTGTCTAGTTCCCTCTTTCCCAGCTGATATTTATAGTTAATAAATATTTTATGGAACAAAATTTGACTTACATTTCATTAAAAGTTTAGATTTAATATGACGCGGTCTAAATATATCTAAAATATTCACATATGATCAGTAAAATTAAGTTATTTCAGTAACATGTTCAGTAGTAATCTACTGGAAGTTATAATAACATTCAATATCTACTAGTAGGGCTGGGTGATATGGCTTAAAATCAATATGATATATTTAGAATTTCACCTCTAACGATACATGGACGTTAACTACAGGTATGCGCAGAAACAAAAGTTGTCCACTAGATGGGGCTGTCACGTGTATTAGTTGAGTCACATTTTTATGTGACTCAAGGTTGTACAGCTTAAAGGAACATGACTCGTGAACGCTCAAGCCTAAAGCCTGAGTCATGCTTCTGCGTCTGTGCGGAGACACGCAACGCCATTATCCGTCCTTGCGTTGGCCTCCCGGCAGGCGCTCAAGTACATACAGTCAAGCCCACTTTACTTAACATCCGTTGAACGAGACAGAGAACGCACGCTTGTGATTGGTTGGTCCAGAAACCTGAGATCACTTCCGTCATGACGCCATTCGCCTGTTGTCTGCCTATACCTGTTTAGCGGACGGACATCACATCGACACCGCTGTCTCCTTTTATGCTCTTGCTGGTATTTCAGCAAGATAAGCATTTCTTTGTCTAGGCCACACAGTCCCAACTTGATCAAACTTCTCTTTCTCGTGTTGCTCGCCATTTTTCAGACAGCGGAAGTGATTTCCAAGGAAATGGTAAGACGTCACTGTACTGTTACCTACGCTATGCCCTGTGTTGTCCTGGCGGAGAATTGCTTTGCAACACCCCTTCGGCAAACTGGGAAGTATAAGGGCAAAACACTTGCGTCAATCCATGCATGTCTGTCCCTTGTGGAGCTGATGCAGAAGCTTGACAGGCTTAAATTATACTTCTCCGTGTGCGTCGGGACGGACGGACGCACGCAACGCTATTATCCGTCCTTGCGAGCCTGCTGGAGAGCCCTCGCAAGGACGGACGGAGTCGAGCTCTCTTTGCTAAATGTCCGTCCGTCGAGACGGAGAACGCTAGCTTGCGATTGGTCAGGGCACCCCTGTCGTCTACACCGCCGCTGTCTACACTGCCGCCATTGCGCCCTCAAAAACATAAAGAGAGCTGAGGATAACTAGCGGCAGACATGTAGAAGCTTGAAGAATACCTCGCGAAAAAACTCTAAAAATATGAACGTTTAATTCCTACGTGGCTGGAGGAGTGAAAAGATACGCAGCAAGCATTTTATTTGTGGACGGAAATGACAGGAAACGTGGGTTTAGAGGTGGCGAGCACATGAAGAGGTGGAGGAGGATGAGAGACAAATTTGTCTGTGTTAAAAAGTCTCTTTTTTTATTTTTATTTTTTTACAAAAAACACAATATAAACACACTTTCTTGGACCGGATACATGACAGGATACCACAGAAGAGCTCTACGTCCTCTGTTGTACTGGCGGGGAATTGCTTTGCAACACTCCCCAGGAGACATATAATTTTATAAGTAGTCAGACCGTGGCGGTAATGTGGTGCAATAGTGTTTTTAAAAAAGATTAGGCAATGGCATCATAAAGGGGGTATGGGGGGTGGTCTCTGCGATTCCACTGACTTCATTTATCTTGGACATAACTTGCTTTTTATTGCAATCAGAGCTGCGATCATTAAATTTTTTTAAACAAGCTGCTCTTAAAGGTGTCTGTCTCCATCAGTCCCTGTGCAGTTTCTGATGATCTGAGCTTCAGCTCTAACAAAGAGACGCTCATGGAGTGATGCGGCGCACCAGTTTAACGTCTCAGCTGATTTTGTCCAGCATGGTGCGTTTATAAGACACACTACTGTGGTAATATTACGCCGATTTAACCCAAAAATTAACTCTGTAAACTAGGGCTGCAGCTATCGAATATTTTTGTAATCGAGTACTCTATCGAATCTTTTTTTCGATTAATCGAGTACTCTAATAAATTACCCTTTTGTGTTTGTAAACCTTTATATCATATATTGATGAGCCAAGATGGCGCCGAGTATGGCTGCCTCGTCGCGAGCTCCACCAAGTTCCAACATTGCACGCTCCTTACTGTACATTAATGCCACTGTTTTGCACATACCAACCTCTGTACATTTTACATCTCTTATCTTATTGTTTACTTTATTCATTTGTATACTTAGATTAGCCATTTTTATATTTTGCTTGTTTGTACATTACTGTATTTTTGCACAACTCTGTTGCTGTGAAGCTCGCACACAAGAATTTCACTCGCATGTACTGTACCAGTGTACCTGCACATGTGACGTGACAATAAAAGTGATTTGATATCAAATAGCATGTTATAATTATGAAAGACCTCTTAAAATGAGCAAGCAATTGCCAGTTATTCTTCAAGTTTTATTCAAAATTAGTTTGCATAACTTCAGCACTTCAACTTTACTTCACAGTAAGCAAATGGCTGTGCAAAAAATAAGTACACAACCTGAGCCGATTTTCCCCTCGTGCGAGAATCTGCTAGCCTGCAAGCCAGACAAAAACTAGGAGGATAACCAAGTAGCGCTGCGA